CGTTATTAAAATGATACATTACCCCACGACATAAAAAGATATAACAATCCTAAAACATTTTTGTCTGACATAATTCCTAGCTGTATCCACTGCATAGTTGACAAAACAAAACGTCGAAAAGTATAAATTAAGTCTAGGTATAATTGTTTATTGTTTATTCCGTTTATTGACAGCTTGATTTTGTCAGTTTCCATGAACAACCCCTTTTTGAATTTGCCTTGGAGTTCTGGGTTTGTTTAATGTTTTTTTAATCATACAGCATCTCAATTTTTATTGGTTAAGAGTGATGTACTGAATAGTGTTAGCAGTATATAAAGTAACTTTTATTATTTTCAAGTGATATTGATTTCCTTAATGAACTCATCATTGATTCTGCTTGAAAAATGATATATTTTTCAGAGGGAATTATTAAGTAAGAATACTTTGCGAAGACATGAAAACTTCACCCTTTATGCTTTTATGTCATTTACCACTTACAGCAATTTACATCTATAAAAGAATTTAAATTCTGAAAGATGTCATTTTCCCCTGGCAATTTACACCAACGAAAATAATTTAAATCCCGATAGCTGTAATTTAAAAATTATACCAAAAGAAACATTTTATAAGATGATGATGTTTGCAAATGGATTATGATTCATTTATTTTTCATACTCTTCATCTGAGATGTGGGGAAGGCGTCATTTATGACAGTAACCCATAGTTAATTACCAAAAATGCATCTATATATGTCAACTTAGTAACACGATGAAGCACAGCCATAAAAGCGAACCAAACCTTTGTACAGACTTATTCACAAAGGAGATGGTTACGAATAATACTGTATTCAATTCTATAAAGATGGCCTTATTTGAAATAATATTGATAACGTCGTAAGGTTTTTGCATCGAAAATAAAAATTTTAATATACAACCAGTTGTTTGCATGATACGGGTTATATTCTTCCGGTATATATTTTATGATACTTAACCCTCTACCGGATTGATTGTCGTTTATTTTTTTTTATGAAGACATATTCTTTCAATCATTTAAACTGAGGTCTTGAACTGGCATGTCCGTTACTGCTTATAATCCTATGTGAATTTATGTTGATCACTGGAAGTTTAATTTGTTTCTACTGTTATCTAGTTTAACATCGAACTCGGATGTCTTTTAAAATTATTGTGCGTTTCGCTGTGTGTTTGTTTATTCCACATTGGCTACAGGTATAGGGTAAGGATTTTGATCTCATAAAACATGTTTTACCCCAGTGCATTGTTTGCACTTGTCTTAAGTCAGAAACATCTAGCCTTTATTAGTCATGTGTGTTTAAAAAAAAATGTTTAATGGTATGTTTCGGAGTTTAGTTAGGCGTCCGTTTTGCTGAACTAGTATACATTATTGTTTAGTGTTCAGATAAAATCTGCATGGCAACCTGGTCCGACATATTACTTGTTATTACACCAGCTGTACATTTGAACTGTGTTTCTGTCTCGTAGAGTTGTCATTTCATGGATATTATTTTTAACATTGTCAGAAAGCGGGAGGTTTGGCTAGCCATTAAACCAGGTTCAATCCACCATTTTTTTCTTAAAATGTCCTGTACCAAGTCAGGAATATGACAGTTGTTATCAAATAGTTCGTTTCTATGTATGTTGGCGGTTGTTTTATTGTTCACTTCAGTGTTCCTGTTGTTCGTTTGATTTCCTCTTATAGTTGACGTGTTTCCCTCGGTGTTAGTTTGTAACCCTGATTTGTTTTCTCTCAATCGATTTATGACCTTTGAACACTGGAATAGTACTGTTGCTTTTATTTATACCTACATTGTATATCAATAAATTAACAATATGCCAATCATTGTAGTTTATTTACAGCTATAAGTAAGCTTTGTTTTTCATATCATAACTACATATGTACATGCAATAAAAAAAAAACAAACCTATTGATACTACACAAATATTTTTGATGCTATACAAGTCAGCTATTTACTGTAGAGTTCCTTCAAACAAAATTATGTATCCATTCTGAATCAATGAGTTGAACCGATCTCCAAACGATTCTGTTGTGAGGATTAGGCCTAAAAGGGATCCATGCTTATTTTTCTCTGTTCATTTAAAAAATAAGGAACCTGATATTCAGTGGTTGTCGTTTGTTAATGTGGTTCATAAATATTTCTATTATATATTATATTATATTATATGTTTCTCGTTTTTTATATAGTTGGATTTCCTGTTTAAATGGTTTTACACTAGTCATATTTGGGACCCTTTATAGCTTGCTGTTTGATGTGAGCAAAGGTACCGTGTTAAAGACCGTACTTTGACCTATACAAGTTTACTTTTACAAATTATGACTTGGATGGAGAGTTGTCCCATTGGCTCTCATACCACATCTTCTTATATCTATTAGCTTCACATCAGTAAAAATTAGATAACTGATGTTCTCCACATTTTTAGAATATTATGACAAACTTGGTACTTAGTATGCATTTTGTAAGAAATTAATAGAGGGTGGAAAGGCTCTTAATACATTCGACATATTTTAATTGCTTATTCTTAAAAGTTGACCTTTTGTGGACGTCGAATATGCGACGCTTTCTTTTTTAGATTTTATTTTTTTCCAACTGAAAAAATAATCTGTTGATGTATATGTGACCGTTTTGTATATATGTATTAAATGTATTAGCTATGTCGAAAGACATGCATAATGGAAAATTATAAAAAAACACACCGTTTAGTCTCCAAGAAAACCTGTAAAATTTTTATTCTGTAGGAGGGGAGGGCAAATTAAGTATACGGTGGAATATAGACACTGTTAAATTATCTTTATTATCAAATAATTAATGCACTGGTACAGAATAAAACAATAAAACACATTTTACAATACGCAAAAATACACGAGTACAACAAACAAATAATGGTGAATTAAAAAAATCCCTTAAGACCCATCACACAATTCAGCGTTGTCATTATAATTTATCTACGTGCATGGGTATTTTAACACCCTGAAGTATCCAAGTACACCCTGATGCAAAGCCGAAGGGTGTACAGGGTACGGAAGGGTATTAAATATCCATATCTACGGATATAAACAGAGATAACTAATTTATCTCCGGTGTAAGTCCGAATCTGACGATTTTTAGGGATATCGACCACTAAGTGTAACCTGAAACCAACGTTTTTTTTTTATTATGCAAAAAAGTTTTATTGAAATTTGGAAATTTTACATATTTTTAACGGGGTGTAGGGTATTAACTGTGGTAGAACCCTACAGGTAGTCAAATATAAGAAGTTTTAAATCCAAAGGCAGAGAAACTGGGAGAAGTCAAATTTTGCGCTCAATGTTTTGAAAGTTACCTAATTTCACCGGTGCGGTGACACAGTAGGAAATCTAGTGAAAAAGAACACAAGAAAATTGCCTCGTATTATGATAGAGTCGAAAAAAGCAATAACAAAACAAAGCCGATGACGACACTAAGCAAAAGTTATTTCTAAATATCAATGTTACATTTGAAAGAAATTATTTGTTAAAACTGTGTTATTAGAAATATACATGAAAATACATGATGTTTATGTTAAGTATTTATCGAGATAATTGCATTAGATGCTTGTAAAACTGAAATCTAAAAAATGCAAATCTTTGCTGCATTATGTTAAAAAATATTGGAAAAAAATCATACTGACACAAAACATCAGAGAAGAATGTATTTCAGATTAACGCATTTAAGTCGACATACAAAATCTAAAGATCTTTCGGGTCAACAATTTTTAGAGTGTTCCACAAAGTCCTAAGTACGTTAAAATTTCCTAAAATATACTTATTTGTCACATTTTAAGTTTTGATATCACCGGTCTACTCTTGTCACATGAAAAAATTCAATATATAAATATTGTCTTTTTATGAAAGTCTGTCTGTGCAGGTTTAAAAAATAAAGATAAATAGTCTTATAAAAAAGTAGGCATCTTTTTACTAGTTTTTATATAATTTTAGGAAACGGTCGTCTCGATTTTTGTACATGTATTTGCGGTCTTCTCGATCTACTCACAATCTATGTTTACATCGGGATAAGGCCCGTTTAAATTTGCTGAGTAACTTAATTTCAAAAGTGCCAATCCTTGCTGCATATCAATTGATTTCTTTGAAATTTTTTCATTGACTTTCTCTGATCTAGCTGCATATATATGTACAGATATATAGCATGTTCCAGAGATGTATACAGCCGACAAAAAAATAAATTAAAGTTGGTACTCCAGGAATTTATTTCGCATAGCAACATTTAAACCAATTTTACACCAAGCTCCTTTAGTCTGCTGTAATTGTCGTTTTCTATTTAAGGAGGGAAAGGATGACATTAAACATGTTAAATGGAAGTTTTGTTTTTGTTTCAACTTATCTATATTTGCATTAACCAGAACGTTTTCCCGAGAATTTATTATTGAAAGCTTTCTTGCTAAAATGTGACAAACGCTAAAAAGAAATAGTTTTTCAGTGTTTACAGGGGAGATAATATTTTTCACTAGATACATCGAAGTGAAAACAATAAATAATGGAATCGACTTAAATAGTTAATCTGAAATACATTCTTCTGTGATGTTTTGTGTCAGCATCTGACTTTATTTGGCCCAAGTGGAGAAGTTAAGAGAGAATAAACAGTACAATCATTGTGTGCCATTGTAAACTGAGACGTGGATGTGACTTTACTGACTGTGTGTACAAAAAATTAAAATCCCTATAATACTGAACTCCGAGGAAAATTCAAAACGGAGAGTCCCTAATCATATGGCAAAAACCAAAGCTCAAACACATCAAACGAATGGACAACAAATGTCATATTCCTGACTTAGTACAGGCGTTTTCTTAAGTAGAAAATAGCGGATAAAACGACTGGTAACGACATCTGATCATTCAATTCCTCTTATATTCTTTGTGCCTATGTTTTTATAATCAATTGTTGTTTGACAAAACCAAATCAGTCACCTTTCATATCAATTAGACTGAGGTATTTATATATATTTGTTGAGCCAAAAACATTTGTCAATGCAAAACGAAGCAAAAACAATACAGTTCCGATAATCTCTTAAAGATGTACATGTACCATGTGCAACATATTACATCGACTTGTTTATATATTTAGTCAATTGAAAATTTATATATGATTCAGGTAATTATATGCTTCTCTTCTCCGTCTTGAGCATTGATGCTGTCATCCTCTCCTCGACTTTATTCTTAATGTACAAAACCAAATTGCTACTGCTATAATTAATACAGCAAAGCAAACACAACCAACTACGATTCCAGCTATTTGACCGCCATTTAAAACTAAAAAATAGAAAAAATAAGATCATACTTTTTTCAGTTAGATAGATAATTTGCAATAATATCATATCTTATTTAAGAAAATCACGTTTAACATAATTCAGTTGATAAAGCTATGTACTTGTTGCCTTACGGTTTTCAATCACATTTGAATGTGTCGTTGTACCCATTCAGGTCAACTTGTCAAAGAGGCCATGTGAGCATTTGACATCATTTGGCATCGTCCGTCCGTCGTCGTAAATTTGTATAAAATCCTCTCAGAAACTACTGTCCAAATCTTACCAAACTTTACCTCAATGTTCATTAGGGAATCTTGTAAAAATTCATATCCGGGGATTTGACCCATCATCAAATTTGGCAGTTGATGCTAAAACAGAACATAGGGGTATAATGCAGTGCTGGATTTACATCTTAAATACTAAAACAGTTAATGCAAAATTGATCAACAGATTCGGAATTTTCATAAAAATTGGGCAAGCAATTTTTAGTTATTGTCCTTCAAATGTCAGTTTCGTTTGTCAATTTCGAAGTGTTTGGTTATTATCTTGAAACTATAACAGATAGAGAAACAAATTACCGGTAAAAATTACTAGAACAATAAGATTAATAAATTAGTCTACATAGATCCTTATCAAATATTGCCCTTAATGACGATATTTGTTTCCATAATTTGTCAATTTCATGAAAAAATCAATAAATAGGTACACATGTTGATAACTAAGGTTTAAATAAACTATTATACAGATATGCAAAAGGAAAAAATTATGGCTTTCTTTTCTCTGATTTCCAACATATATGGTTTCTAGCTATTTCTCTTTGAAGTCATGCAGATAATTGGCTACTTTTGGTCTATTAAATGCGAATTCTTGTGGCATATGACAGCTTACATAAAACCGATTGGAAAAATAAATTTCAACAAACAACATTTCAGAAACAAAAGTTGTAGAAGAAACAAAACATTTCATAACAAAGTCAAAAGGTCTTTCCACGGAAACATGGAAAGACATAAAAGAGCAGATCCATATATATGTGTGTGTGTGTATCTGTCTGTTAACGTTATTGTTTGCTTTACTGTTTCGTTTTTGTTTCAATGTGTTCTGTTTTGTTTTGTGTATCTGTTTTATGTTGAGGGGGTTTAAAGTTGTACAGGTATCATTTTAATACCTGTGGAATATACTGAGATGCAAGTGCACAAGTTAATTTTGAATTTTATTCTAAAAAATACTCTAAATATAGTTTGCGTCGTTTGTTTTTAATTTCAAATCGTCTTACCTGACTCTGTCTGCAGGCCTGATGGTAGTTCTGAATCTGAAGCAGATTATGCACAGATATATTCAAAAAATTAAAGTAAATTGAACTAAAGTGAACAATTTGGGAATTCACGAAAATTTGTTAGGGAAATGGTTCGTTCACAGATCAACATAAATAAACAAAATATGTGTTTAATCCTTCAACTTTTGACAGCAACAAATCGAAAGGACCTAAACTGACTGACTGAGGGAGTTGCAACATTTGTTTTATTACATGTACAATAGCAAATTTGTGAATTGAAAGTTTGCAGTTAAATGTCTCATTTAAATCATACCGGTACCGTTTTACTGGCTCGCTGGCAGATTGTTCTGTCAGGGACTGATACCCATATGGCACGTTCCCAACATTAGCTCAGGGCACACAGTTATGAATAGAGTCCCTAATGTAGACAGTGTGTTACTTGCAACAACAATTATACCCCTTCCACATTTATTTATTCATGTTTTATGCCTCAAGTAGCAAGTAGGGGGATACAATTACACTGTAAAAAAATTGGGTAATGAATTTTAAAGTAAGGTAGTGATTTGATCCAGCTGAAAAAGGTTAAAAATTAGCATTTCGGAAGCTGTGAAAAGATTTCAAGCTTAACATAAAATTGTTCATATTTTGAGTTAAAGCTGATGAGGTTTTCAATAATTTTGATATAATTTGTCCCAAAAGTAGTACAACACACTGTAAAAATATTATTGAGAAAGCGCACGTGGGATTTTTTAAATTTGAATTCATTTATTTTCTGAAAGAAATGTACTACGAAATAACTGTGTTCATTAGCAAGTATGAATGGTATCCAATGAATGTCACGTGTTTGTTTTTAATAATTTTTGTGAACATTTGCTGTGAAGAACAAAGCAAATCAGTCACAATCCATACACAGATTTTGTATTAACACTGACAAGGAATGCCAAGTTCACACACCAATAAATAATAGTTTTTATTCAATATTTTAATAGCATGTTTTAATAATTTCCCACATCAAAGTTCATGCATATTTTCATCAGATTTCACACTGAAAACATCATGGAGTAAATTTAAAAAAGGTTTATTTTTGAGTTTTTATGAAGTTTTTCATACTCGTACTGTGAAGTAATTTACTCCTGAGGAAATATTCCAGAACGGGAAAAAACCCCTTTAAATTCATAGATATATGTTCTGAATATGGGTCGACCGGGATCAAGAAAATCGGACTGCATTATCTGTCTGTCTGTTCATTTTGAAGATACAGACATAAAATGCAGTCCGATTATTGATAATTCGTATTGTCATATTTTGTTGTTTTTGTGAGTCAGAAATTTAGTGAACTTCTTCATTTGCATAATCACATACATATGTACATAACACATTAAAACTTTTGACATTTGCTCTGAAATTAGTACGGATCAGCCGTTTCCTTATATATTTATTAGTTTTTTATTAATCAAGCTACATTTGTGAATGAAAAAAGGCATAGAATAAAAACACAACCCAAATAGCAAAAGTAATCAAATAAAGAATTATAGAGATTAGACGTATTCTCTTAGCCATAGTTCGATCTTTGGTAATGGCATTTTAACGATGAACTAAGCTGTTTCGTAAATATACTGTTCACGTTTTATATAAGTGAGTATCTCAGAGATTGCTCTGATGTCTGATGTTAACGGGTTTTCTAAGGATTTATTGGAGGCGAGGGACGTCAGCTCGCAGTCCATATAGAAAACATGGAAATTGGTAACCCAGACTTTGGATTTATGTTTCTATCTCAACATATCTAAAGCAGCAATACATAGTTCGGAGTTTGGGTTCGCATTATGGCCATGGTGAATTTTATAAATATGAAAGTTAATTTGCATTAAATTGATTTTTAGTAGCTGACGAATAATATGTAGCCTTCAAAGTGGGCTTATATTTTTCCTCATTGTTGCTTGCATCCACTTAATTTGAACTTTGGTGGATAGTTGTCTCATTGGTAATCATACCACATCTCTTTTGTTTTATATCATTTGAACATCAAGATTGCTTTATAGGCATTTTCTTTTTTGACAGTCCGTATTTTCACATCCATAGTCAACACTATATCGCTAATCTTAATGTGTAGAGAACAATAAAGACAGAACACAAAGTATAGAGACTTTTTTTATCTATTGTTATTGATTATTGGGTCTTATTCGCGTTTTGCTTATGATAAAATGTATGTTTAAATTCGTCGTCACATCCGGTCGGAATGATGATGATTAATGCAATGCCCCTGGTAGGCTAAGAGGCAAGCTCTCTGCATGTTTAAGAACCCGCTGTTGGGTTTATAAGTTTTTTTTTAATATCAACATCCCACCATGATTTTCAAGCCCAAAACTTCTGCTCTTTGAACTAGTCCCGAATATGCCTTACATATATGTCACTGAACATAAGGGAAACAACTATTAATTAATCTGAATTAGGTACTAGTATATAGTCATTTGTAGATGTTGTCTCTTCAATGCTTCTTTTTTATGAATTGGTGTCAATGTCAGATATTTAACAGTTTCTGTTTGATTCATTGGATCTAGACTCAGGGCAATATAAAGCTTAATGTCATGCGATAAAGATTTTTGTCTGTACATTCTAAAAGACCTTTATGTCATGCAATCTGAGTAAGTATGTATTGTAATTTGATATCTACTCGACGGTTGCACAATTATATCTCCTTTTTCATTTAAAAATGTTTTATTCTGTCAAGTGCTTTTTAACTAGAACAATAGTTTTCATGTACTGGTACACTAGTTTTACCTTCCGTTATCACTTATAGGACATACGTTTTTTCATAACTCTGGATTTGGGAGAAACGTCAATTACGGTTTGGTGTTAATGAGTGGCGAAGTAGTCACATATAATGGGGTAAGTTCTGTCTTCCAGTTGTCCGAAAGTTGATTCTCAGCTTATCGTTTATCCAAAAAAGAAAATCCTCATTGATTAGATAACTCGATTCAAATATAAATAACCTGTAAAATGGTCCTTTAATGTTTTTCTATATCTTTGTGCAGCTTAAATGTTCAAAGAGGTTTTTTTTAAATTTAAAACGAAAAACACTGTTTATTAATCTCTAGTCTGAAAATTTCATCCATTTTAAAGTATATTCAGAATCTTCTGTTTGACATTTGAGATATAACACTTTGTTTTAATACATTTTACATCTTACGATGAAATATTACTCTTTATTGTTGACTAAGGTATAGAAATATGTCTTCCCTTGACTTTCCTATTCGCTAGTAAAAAGGGTGTCTATTTTGACTGTGTGGAATATATAGATACACAGTCTTGTCCGATCGAAAAGGGGATGCAATGTCCGATACCAAATGCAAGAAGAGTGTCACGCCCTCGGCACGTCAAAAAGCTCATACAAAAACTCTTTTGCAAGGTCCTTATGTGGCCTGTTGTAAGGAAAAATTTAGGTCCTCTATCCTACCTATCTTCATTTCCCAGTGGCTGTCAAAATTCCAACCCTTTATATCGGTTGACACACTTTGAAGAACCCAGCTATTGGATGTATTGTTAATTTGATCTCTTCAAGAATATTCGTGAAATATTTGCCATTGGACATCAAGTAAACAGCCATTTAATTAAACAATGCAGCTTTTTAAAATTACGTAAATACAATTGAAAAAAAAACTCACCATATATTGACTTCCAAGTTAAAAAAGTAAATATGCAAACATTGAAATAATTCATGATTTCCTTTTATATCCTTTACTAAATATACATATGAGTAATTTGACTACTGTAATACATGTAGCTGGATGTACAAAGCAATTAACACATCTAGGATTTCTTCTTGTATTCTATGTGTAAAAGTCTGAAAAAATCCAAACAGTTTTATCAATATTTACAGAAATTAATATATTATATTTCAGTTTTAAATCAGTAAGTGGCAAGCTACGTTAAGATGGCAATGATATTGAATGTTATCTTACCTCCTATACATTTCTAGGAATTTGATTGGTTAAAAACAACCGCGTGGAGACCGTGTATATTTCATATGGGGTTAGTAGGCGTGGTTTATTTCAATACACGGTTAGTAGCGATGTTACGTCCCTTTGTAAAAACTGCACCGTGTTGAGGAAAAATCTGAAAGGCTTCAACAGACGATGAAACTGATGATGAACGATTGAAATAAATGCAGAAAACACATTAAAAGCTAACAAGTTGTTATTGTTGGTATTTGTTTTTGTATAAACCAATGGAAGTAGGTTCTTAATATTGAAGACTTGATCACTTTGATAGGCCACTAGTCTAAATGCCACATGTTAAGATATGTCGGTAAGATAAATTCGTTACACAGTGTGCTAGTGACCTAATACGATATATATGGGGTCATTAAATTCCAGCTTTGCTCTCACCCCAGATGGAATTTACTGACCCCATATATATCGTATAATGTTTATAATATAATAATTTGAAAGCAGTGTTTTGTAAATACCGGCATTTGCATTCTGTCTGCCAGTAAAATTTGGTTGTGATCAGGGGCGTTTCTATGAATTTTGAAAGAGGGGGGCGTAGAATGATATCTTTCGGCGAGCTGAGCGAGGCGAAAAATTTTTTGACCTTTTTTTTGCTAAAAAACATCAAATAATTGTGAAATGCACTAATGTAACGGTTCCTGACTTGGATCATGTATATTTTATAGTTATCTATAGAGTGTCAGGGTCTGACATTTTTTGATGCCGAATTCTCTCCATTAATTGTCTATGGTATATTAAAATGATTGGATGGATCTTAACAGCAGTAGACCAATAACGAGAAATTCCAAATTCTAGGGTAAAAGGCGTTACTTAACATTTCAATAGTCCTAGGCCAGGATTTTATGAACGGGAGGCGAAATTACGGTTGCCCTGGTAGAGGGTCCATGGGGAAGCTCAGAAGCTCCTGGATTTCAACAATTTAGCATCAAATTATGAAGTAGCCAGACTGATAAATATCTCTCTATTTTAGATTAAGTTCTGGTTTCGTTGAACGACACATATATGATACAAGACAAACAAACACTGAAGTATAAAGTTCTTTCGTTCTAAATATTGTATGCATTTAATGTGGAATACATGACTGAATATGAAACAATTGACGTCATTGTACTACAGTACTCAATTAAAGCAATCATATCACTGTCTAGTTCCGATAGGTGGTATATGGTACATAAATAAATATGGTGCTTGAACTTGATGGCAAAATGTAGGTCAATGTCACTTAGTTACTCACTAATGGATATTGAAACAATATGATACTACCAAAGGCTATCCAGATGGGAAGTAAAAATGCTATACCAAATATACATGTTACTCATGTCAAGTCAGTACCATAGGGTTTGTTCTTCTCATATATTTTATGATGGTATGATACTTAACCCCTAACGGGAGGGATTGTACTTGATTTTCATATGATGAAGACATAATCTTTCAATCAGTTTAATTGAGGTTTAGAGCTGGCATGTCAGTAACTGCTAGTAGTCCTTTGTTCATTTATGTATCATTGTCATTTTGCTTTGTTTCTTCTGTTACCTATTTTGACATCGGACTCGGGACTTATTTAAAACTGAGTTTTACTGTGCGTATTGCTATGTGTTTCTTTTTTCTACATTGACTAGAGGTATAGGGATAGGGTTGAGATCTCACAAAACATGTTTAACCCGACCGCATTTTTGCGCCTCTCCCAAGTCAGGAGCCTCTGGCGTTTGTTAGTCTTGTATGTTTTTTTTAATTTTGGTTCATTTATATGTTTTGGAGTTTAGTGTGACGTCCATTTTCACTGAACTAGCACACAATTTTATTTAGGGGCCAGCTGAGGACCACCTCCGGGTGCGGGATTTTCTCGCTGCATTAAAGACCCATTGTTGGCCTTCGGCTGTTGTCTGCTCTTTGGTCGGGTTGTTGTCTCTTTGACATATTCCCATTTCCATTCTCAATTTTATTTACTAGTATAATTGTACCTTAACACAAAACCTAAAATGAACACAGAAATACAAACGGACTCTCATTTTCAATGAATGGTTAGACTAGAGTGGATTCATTAGAACCATTTTCAGAGTATGTGTTTAATTAATGAATATGATAAATTGCCATCTTCAATACAATATTAGCAGATTACGATAGTTTTTTTTTTTTTTTTTTTTTTTGAAAAGGGGGGCGTACGCCCATTACGCTCTGACCTGGACCCGTCCTTGGTGATTTAGTCAGGAGAAAGACCATGAACACAAGGCCAAATCGTTATAATAAATATACATAGGAATAAGGGAACACTTGTATCGCAATAATACACAAATTGAAAAAGATTTTTGTATCAGAAAATTATATAAATTTAACGTTAAAATAGATATGGTATATGAAAATTCGAATTGAAAGGCCAAGGTTTTGATAATTTTGATTTACGGGAAGTGGCAAAGTAGAGAAGAGCAAAAAAAAAAATTCATACAATTGGAAAATACAAAGTCAAATATACAAAAAAGATCTCCCAGCTTGAAAATGAATTATTTTGAAGAAACAAATTGAGTTTTGATGTAAGAAATCCTTTGTTGATATTTCAGTATATGATAAAGATTCTTTAATAAAAAATCATGGGGTTTTAAATTTCAATCTAGTGAGGTAGTTATTTAAGATGCTTGGGTAGCAATTTGAATGTATGTACATAATTATAATAAATTAAAGTTTTCATTTTATACATTTATTTCAATAGCGGGTAGCTTGTTTGGATCTTACAAATCCTACACAATGCTCAAACGAGCGCTTACTTTGGAAGTATATTTAAATTCGGCTACATTAACAGTGTTGATTTTTTAATAAATTTTTTCGGTATAACTTCAATCTACTCAATTTTCTTTGTAATATAGTATATAAACATGTATTCTCCTCCTGATTGTTATGCCATGATATGTGATAAACACTCAAGCATTTTACTTTGCAATACGTAAATCTTAATACATGCAGCTTCCTCCATTTGTAACGGCTGATTCCCTTAAAACTAAAATAAGAAATAACATAAACCAAAAGATTTGCGTTATTTCGCGAACGATTGCGTTATAACGCAAAATGTTTGCGTTATAATGCAAAGGTTTTCGATATAACGCAAAAGGTTTGCGTAATTTCGAAAAGGTTTGCGTTATAAAGCAAAAGGTTTGCGTTATTTTGCAAAGGTTTGCTTTATAACGCAAACATAGGAAGAAATATAAAAAAAAAATGTGTTGCGCTAATACGCTTCCGTAAATTACAATGCACTCCTCCTTGTTCATTATTTCATTTGGTGTAAAACAAATTAATGCATATGTGTTAAAATATTCTACAAAGTTCAATTTAAAAATCATGCAGCTAGATATTTTGTCAATCTTTCTTAATAGTGATATGTTAGGTAGCATTTAGGCGTTAGAACATTTAAATGTCGACAATTTTCAAACAATTATTCAAATTTGAAGTAGAATGAATAACATTTATATATGATAATGAAAAACAGGTAGCAATGATATTACGTGCTGTGTACGATACTATAACACACTAATCAATATGTATTTTAAATCATTGTTAAATGTAAAAACCATTTGAGCAAAATAAATGTGTTAGTCTAGGTTCTAATCTAATTTAAAAAGTTTTTCTTCCATGCCTATTATATCATTTAAATAAAGAATTTTCTCTGCGGACCTCACTTGCCTCAATATCTATCGTAATAATTTCCGACTATCAAAATTAATTTAGATTTTAGATAACAAACACCTCAGTAGATGATTGTACACAGAGGTCAAGGATAAGACATTTGTAACTCTATTGACCCAAAACATGTTTTTATATTGTATGGGTAAAGAATTTTTAAAATAGTAACTGGCGGATGGTGCCAATCGCGAGTTCTGTATGTCTTGGATAAGACTTACTACATGTCCCTTCCTTTTTTTTTTTTCAATTTTGTCCCTTTAACAATTTTACTGCTATAACTAAGAGATTACCATTATACTGACATCTGCAGGGGCAATCAGTATACTGGCAGTTTTTAGTAAACATGTAAATTAGTAAGAAAGAAATAAGAAAAGGGAATTGTAGCAAGTCTAGTCTTGGATGTTCAACGAATACTTTTATCGCAGCAAAACTTTATCTACCGATTTTTATGTCCCACCTACGATAGAAGGTTTCATTACATTTTCCGGTGTATGTGTGTCTGTCAGATAAAAACTGACAAATTAACCTAACGGGAAGGATTGTGCCTGATATTCATATGATGAAGACATAATCTTTCAATCAGTTTAATTGAAGTCTGGAGCTGGCATGTCAGTTAACTGCTAGTAGTCTGTTGTTATTTATGTATTATTGTCATTTTGTTTATTTTCTTTGGTTACATCTTCTGACATCAGACTCGGACTTCTCTTGAACTGAATTTTAATGTGCGTATTGTTATGCGTTTACTTTTCTACATTGGCTAGAGGTATAGGGGGAGGGTTGAGATCTCATAAACATGTTTAACCCCGCCGCATTTTTGCGCCTGTCCCAAGTCAGGAGCCTCTAGCCTTTGTCAGTCTGGTATTATTTTTAATTTTAGTTTCTTGTGTACAATTTGGAGTTTAGTATGGCGTTCATTATCACTGAACTAGTATATATATTTGTTTAGGGGCCAGCTGAAGGACGCCTCCGGGTGCGGGAATTTCTCGCTGCATTGAAGACCTGTTGGTGACCTTCTGCTGTTGTCTGTTCTATGGTCGGGTTGTTGTCTCTTTGACACATTCCCCATTTCCATTCTCAATTTTACGTAAAATTACTCTTTGATAGTTTCTTTAAATCCCTGTAACTCCGTTCTTACTGTTTTTGATTGTCTTCTTGAGATAAAGACAAGCATATTGCTTATTACATCTTAAATCCAAATGAAGTGGATGTAAACAATTATTGGCAACAGTACGGCCTTCAACAATGAGAAAAATCTGTACCGTATAGACGGTAATAAAATGGCCCTAGATGAAAAATGTTAATCAATTCAAACGAGAAAACTAACGGCCTCATTTATAACAAAACAATTTAAAGTCAATTCTAAACAATTCCCCGTTTTATCATCTAAAGGACTATGAGTTTCATTGTTCGTACACCAAAATGAAAACAACGTCACGTCGTTGTAAGCCAGTTACATCGTGTTGGTGAACGCTTTAAAAAATGTATTTCCTAGAACGCATACGGTTCTAAAATGGTTATTTTTTGCCCAATGTCTATCAGTTGTAATCCTAGCTCACAATCGAAGAAAAGCTGACGACATTGTGTTTAAAAGATGTAGAACATATGCGTGGTCGTATGTTGATTTGAGTACTATGGGTCTTGCTACAATCATTGTTGACGTGTTGTGTTTCTAAAGAGAACTTAATGTTCAATTAACTTTTTGCATTCGTATATGCAAAGTTGTCCGTAGACAAATTCGACTGTTCCTTTTATTCTCATTTTTGTTTCCATACTTTAAAATGTTTTGTAACTTTGAATTCTAAAACTCTCTTTACCTTTTGAACATGATGAAGATTATTCTGGAGAGCGGTTTCCTGAACGACAAAACCAGGAGAACATGTTTAATTTCTTACATACATTTAACAGTAAGTGTGTAAAACTAGGTGTATATTGGCTTTGGTTTATGAAAAATCAATATTCGTTTTAAAATATATTTTGACGAAATTTAAAGTGTATATGTATCAGGTCGAAATAAGGTAAACGTTTCCGGATATAAAATCAGAATTCACGTTTGCATTTGAGGACGCAGAATAAGGCGGTGTGTCTGTAATGTGTAATTAAGTCTTGAGGATGCTCAGTTTTCTAGGATGTTTACTAATTTTGATGCAAATTTATGCTGTCTTGAAAGGTATTTATTTTCTATGTTTATTATTGAATGCAAAGTTTTGATATTATTATACTGTGGTATGAAATATTGCAGAAACATTTTGCTCATCCTTGAACTAATATAACCAAAAAATGTAATTATAATGTTCTAAGAGAACATCGGAAACTAATCTCAACGTTTACGCGTATTTCAAAGTAATGTTCGTTTTTCTATAATGACTAAACTTATTACAGTAATAACAGATATGAACCATAACAAATGGAAAATGGGTCGAATGCAATGGACAGCTTTCTGTAAAGTAGTTTTAATTAGTTGTGTACAATTTATTTTTAAACTGAATACGCAATAAATGGTACAATCAAATATTCTGATTGTCAAATGTTAGAATAGTGTGTCTTCTTGACTTAAAAATAAACTGCAAATAAAAATGAACTGTGTCCACGTGAACTCATTAATTCTTTGAAAAAAACCCAATTATTCTAATTTTTTTTTTTAAGTACTGACATTGATTTTGTTTTTGAAAAAATTAGAATTACCTATACATGCTATAGTTGCTTTCTTCTGCATTATTTGGACTCTTGTGGATAGTTGTTTTATTAGAAATCATATCTCCTTATATATATGGTAAAACTATAAATATACGTTTCCGCCACCTGTTTGATAACTTGTTTACAGGAATACTTGTTGCTTTAATCATACACAATTTATAATTTTTTTAAAATACATATGAGTGGCATATGAATGGTGGCATTTGTTACTGGAGTAGGAATCATTCCTTTTTCTAATATTTTTGTAATCACGTAAACAATGATTGAAGTATTCTTGCAAACAAAACATGAACCAACAGTTTTAGTATCTAATAAATTTGAATGGCGGAATATGGAAACACACGTTTTAATTCAAAATTTGTTCATTTTAGGTAGCAGAGCTCAACAAGCTGTAATGTACCCAATTACACCAGCATATGTTGATATTCACCAGCAGCTTACGTTAATGTGCAAAACATCAGTGCGTAATGACTGGAGAAGTACATCTTTTAACGACGAAACCAACAACGATGGTGTCCCCAGTGTTGGATTGTTTTTCAAGGCAGCAAATGGTTCTTGCAAGATAAGTTCTATCTCGTTTTCAAAGTATAGTGCATCATGTGATTCTACAAAGGGGGAATATAATTTAACAATTCTCGATGTACATGAACAATACCATGATAGGTTCATCCGTTGCAACGTCCAATTTGGAGACGGAAGTGGTTCTGATGTGTATGCCAACGCTAACTCGACCATATATGTCAGAGGTAGAAGTTATGAATTTAGTACTTAATGGTTTCAAAAACTTTAAAACAGTATTCGAATGTGTTTAACTTGATTGATTTGAAAATGGCTACACCTTACGTTGTGTCCGTGTATAATTTGTGAACCGATCAACAAATGTTTTTAGAATTGTATATGTTAATGATTATGAAATTGAGAACAAAGTCGATTTTGACTATTTTCATTGTTGTCGTTCAGGAGTTTTGGTCGTAGATTTGAAAAATGGCCCAACTTTATGTTGTACCCGCGTCTTAACTTGTTAACCGATCAGCCAATGTTTTTTTTCCGATTTTTATAGGTTGTTACTGATGACGAAATTGAGGTCAAATTCGATTTTGTAATATTTTCCCTTCTATCGTTCAAGAGTTTAGGTCATTGATAGATTGAAAAATGGCACTTTATGTCGAACAAAATGGTCAAATAATTGAACATTCACAAATATAAAAAAAATTGGATTGGTATAAAAAATTACAAATGATTTATATGTTCCAACCCTCACTTTTAGAAAAAATGCATTATTAATTATCAGTTTACATATTATCGTATGAAATGTCCAAACACGTTCAGAACGTCATGTAATCAAGAAAATGCTGAAAATGCATGTATATAACCTTCTTCAAAATATTTCATGCGCCAACAGAGGGATATACCAACATGTTTTTGTTTAAGAGAAACGGTTTAAATGTCCAAATCTGTCTTATTCATGTAATTGACGTCTGAGTTTAGATACTAGTACCACGGCATTGATTGATTAACATTTCTTTCTTTCATAACACAAACAAACTTCAAAAAAAATACAATAACTGTTCAAACTTATATTCGCATCTGTACTGTTTTATTGATTTAAAATTTCTGAAGATTTAAAAACTAATTAGGTTAAATAGCATTTTAACAATTATACTTACCGAAGTGTATATGATAACCTGTCTGTTTTACAAATTATGAATTGCATTCCTATGTTTTGAAAAAAGATGTTCATTTCATACATTTAATACTAATAGGGTATTTAAATCATCATACACACGAAATGACACAATCTTTGTGATCTTTGTGTATTTAGAAATTTAAAAGGGCACATTGAATTTATTCACCGTCTTGTATCAGATACGATAAAACTTATGAATGTATACGAAGTTGTGTACTCTACAAATACATTTTAATGTGAAATATATATGCTTGTTTTGTTTTGTCCTACATTTGTAATCACACGTAGTATATAAAACGTATCTGCGTATTTAACCAATGATGCATTTCACTGGATGCCTGATTATGCATTTTATGGATCACGCTATTATCTTTCAAAAATATTTAGCATCATCTTCATCTTTATGATGTTCATATATAATTTGGAAGGGATGAAATTGGCTGTTATCTAGCATGACGTGCTAAGACGTTTTGATACAGCATACCTAACTTTAATCTATTTTTTTAGAAATCAAAACCTTTGATTTTTCTTCTCTTTACAATGCTTTTCCTTATGCTCAACTGAGTGCCTCGTCACATTCAACAGAGTTGTTTCTGCAAAAAAAGAGAAATGTAGATACCAATTCCTTGATTTACTTAACTTTTAGTTCATGAAAATCGTACTTTGTGAGGGAATATGCCTATTTCCACAACACATATACCGAGGATGGTATCATTAAGATGCTGGATATTTTTATCGACAGCATATTTGTTGAGTTTGGTGGATTAATATTTCAGCAGACAGTCGGTATTCGAATAGGTATTTATTGTGCACCACTACTAGACGACTTATTTTGTACTCATATGAATCAGACATCATACAAAACATTGTAAAAGACAAAAAGAAAGGAAAAAAAACATCTTGCATGTTTCTATAATTTCACTTTCAGAGATATTGAAGATGTTCTGTCCTTCACTAACTCATATTCTAATGAGTGCTTTCTTATAACTTAGTGAACTTAAGGTTAAGGATACTACGGAAAGTAGAAGGTCTGTGTCATATCTTTTCCTACATATTGACATAGATGGACGACCTCCAACTAGAATCTAGGACAAACGGGGTGATTTCAACTTATCCGAATACCAACTGCCCATGTTTTAGCAGTAACATTTCCTCTGCTCCAACGTTTCGCGTTGCAAACTATGGACTCATTATTTTTGTTTGGATACCAATTTTCGTGGATTCTGTGGTTAAAGGTGGCCCACGAATTTAAATGTTGAACGAAGTACAAAATTTCTATAAGTATTTATGCAGACTTGTACAATACCACGCAATCATATATCTACGAAAATGCAATGTTCCTTTCATCCACGAAAATAAATAAATCCACATGATATCAATTAATACGTTACTCTCGTGCATGTCACTCTATAAGGACCTTACTAACAAGGGTGTGCTTCTTACACACGCACAGCTTTAACAGAGTTTTGAGGAAGACCGACTGAAATCGACACTACTTAAGTTTTACGGTCACCATCACAAATTGGTGAACCGATTTGTTTTGACGGTGTCTCAACTCATTAGTGACAGGTTTTTGCGGTCTAAGGTATTAAGATACTAGTAGGTCGTCTGAACTGTAATATACCGACTGTGTCCTATTCCCCATTGTGTAAAATTTTGACTGAGTGAATTCACATGGCTGAAGATGCATGCATAACAGGAGACGCTTACACTGTCAACGCACCTGGTCTCGCTGCTTTTGACGTTTATGCGATTCCATCGGGTTTTTTTGTTCCCTTAATTTGTCTCTTTGAATTGATAAACGTGAATTGAACATCGGTTAACTGTTGGGACGTATTAAAGGCAAAATAATATTTTCAACCCCTGAAGTATTTGATATTTTTAGGCCAGAATGACGACAAGGAGAAGCAACTTAGGGTCGAAGTGTAACTTATATCTTTATTTTTGGTTATGTTTTGTTTAGTCATTTTGAAATGGACCTCATTTATGCTTAAGTCTGTCCTTCAAATTCAACAAAATTTTCTTGATGCAATTTTATTTTCAGTGCATATTGCAGAAATATTACTATCAAACACTACAATCACAAGCGATGTCACACGTGACACCTCAGTAGAATGTAAAGTTATTAGTAGACCAGCTGCATCCATTAATTGGATTAAAGTAAACTCAGAGGGCGCCATACAAGACATATCATCATCATCGACAGAAACTGTTAACAGTGGTATAAGGGGAGAAATGGTTACCAGCATACTGAAATTCCGATTTACGGCAGCAGATAATGGTGGCGTAATTTATTGTCATGCTGATAATTCAATCTCAACTGTTAATTCATCTGCTATTGCTCTGAGTATCTATTGTAAGTGCATAAATTTACTATAGACGGTACTGCTGTATTGGCATGATTTTTATTAATACATTCGTCTGTAAAGGAGGAGGTTCAATAAAGATAAAGGAAGATGATAGCTATTTTAATTTTCCACCGTTCATACATATGTTAAAAGTAAAATAACAAAATATCGAACTTCAAGAAAAATTCAAAACGGAAAGTTCTTTATAAAATGGCAAAATCAAAAGCTCAAACACATCAAACGAATGGAAACAACTGTCATATTCATGTAAGCCACGATAACGTGTTTGAGTTGTAATAAATTAAGGCAACTTATTTCATCTAAACATCTTTGGTCTTTTTGTTTATGAATTTTAAAGTTATTTCAAGGGAAAAAACATAAGAATGTATTCAGCTAACTCGTATTATTACACGAGTAGAAAAGACTTTTTGGAAATAGATCGTGTTGAATTTGGTACTTGATGTGGTCAGTTTTACTTTCCAATATTGGTGGTTATTCCATCTTGCCTTTTTATATTTAATTATCAAAAATATTTGAAAAATGAATTTTGTGCAATTTTCAAAATGTCAAGGAGTCTTAAAGTTCAAATGAACTTTGATGAATACACAAGCCGACCAGAGGCAATACGTGTTAACAGCTTCTCATGTCTCAATACAGTGATCACAAAATGGTAGCCATATTAACAATGAATTGTCACATACCATACAACTAAGTGAACCATCACGTGACTTTGATGACGTGACAATCCGCAATGAGTCCCATAGTGAATGTATATGCCCTTTGAAAAACTTCAATTTTCTTGTGCCTCGAACCCGATTATATCTTTTGCCTTTGTGTCATCGAACAAAGATCTTTCCTGATAGATTGAAAATACTATTTTTTGTCTCGTCGGTGGCCCCTTGACCCTATTGTAAAATTGGCCACCCCACCTCTACTAATACGTAAAATCCACAAATTCCTTAAATTACAATGATACTTTTCAAATATAGTGTTTTACCTAAAAATTAGCTCTAGCGCTAGATGCTGTTTTTGACAGTTTAAATTGAGTTGAAATTATATCCCTGATGAAAAATAAAATGAATTTCGATGTTGGAATGTTTCAAAAATAGCCGATATGTCATGTTGTAATATACTATTATATTATTTATTTATTTATGTATTTCTCTTTGCTAAGTATTCTTGCGCTTGTTTGTACTGTATTCCTGTCACGTAGTGTTATCATTTTAGCGGTATTTTTAACATTGCTATATAAGCGAGAGGTTTGGCTAGCCATAAAACCAGGTTCAACCCACCACATTTTCTTAAAATGTCCTGTACCAAGTCAGGAATATGGCAGTTGTTATCAAATAGTCCGTTTCTATGTATTTTGGCGTTTGTTTTTGTTGCGGTTCAGTGTTTCTGTTGTTCCGTTGATTTCCTACTACTGTTGTCTTTATTTACCGTGTTTGTATTTCAGAAAACAAATGCTGTTTTGATTATTTATTTGAATTGCGAATTTCTGAAGATTGCATATTTTGACCATCTTTATTTTTCAAAGGAACTGTACTGTTTACAGTCCATACATGCATCATCAAATTATAAATTTATGTATCAAAATACACAATAGTAATCACATCAGATGAGCCTGACAAATTATTAGTTAATTTTCTGGCTAGTATACAAACAGGAAGATACAAGTCAACATTACACAATTATATAGGTATTGCACAGGGATCATTTCGATCTAAATTACCACTACTTGTAATAAACATCCCGTGTACAAGTTTATTTCCAGAGTTTTAAAGTAATAAACGACTCATTTTGCCTCCATGAAATTAAATTCTTTCAGATATCAAAATTAATGTATTAAATTCTATCACCACACTGTTTAATAGAATATCAAAACAATTGTAATGACAAAAATGATTAAATATGCATACTTCAGTTAAAAAGACTAAAAAATTCAAAATGCTTTAACGTGAATTTAATCTTTTTCATAAATATATCAACAGTAAATGACATCGACAATACCAAACTCCAAAATTTGTCATTTGATTAAAATAATTCAATTCAAGTCTGAGCTCAATGCAAATAATTTTGGATATTTTGAAATCTTTTTTTGTTGTTGCCAATTTTATTAAAAAATGTCATCGATATTTGACCTAGTGTAATGTTAAAACTGCACATTATTAAATGTCAGAACTCTTCGACCCTTTACCTGCAAATCTGTAGCGACAGAATTGTCGACCCTTAGTATCATTTATATTGCTGTATAGGGTCTTCTTAACTTGTATTAAATATAAAAGCACTAAAAAGGAAATGTTATTGAAATGTATTTATATCTTTGAATTCAGATCCACCACTAGATGTTCCAACTATACAGCAGACACCTAACCGACCAATCATCAGAGGAGAAACAGTAGTTCTGACATGTTCTGTTTCGGGTGGCTTTCCGTTACCTGTATTGACATGGAACTGTTCCGGAAACAGCACAAACACCACTTCCGGAAACACTGCTTTCTATACTATCCTTTTTATGGCTTCTAAACAAGATAACGGGAAAACTTGTACTTGTTATGCTACCCATCCTGTAGTAGAGTATAGACCACAGATGCATGTCACTCTTAACGTATACTGTAAGTCTATATCGCAAAACTTTTCATGTACAAAATATACAAAAAAGCAATTTCGTGTCAAGATTCTTAATTATTGTTTTTGTCTAACTTTGTTAAATTATTTACTAGATGTATTTTACGATAAAGCTTAAAAAAATTACATGTTAAAATCAAGGTGCAGTACTTATACCAGGAAATATGTTTGAATTACAGTTCCTCCAGATGAGGGTCCTGTTCTAATGCAAAAACCAGAAGGCGCAGTTAACACCGGCCACTCTGTTTTGCTAGTTTGTTCTGTAATCGGTGGTAATCCTGTGGCAACATTAACTTGGAATTGTACTGGAGTGATTACCATAAACTCATCAGAAACAACTGCTATGAGTTCCATTGAATTACCTATTACTAAGCTAAACCATGGAATGGCTTGTTCCTGTTTGGCTACCCATAATATAGACACTTATAAACATTCAACTCATCACCTGCTAGTTGTAATTTGTAAGTATTTAATTAAATAACTCTGCATCGCGAAACACGGACGTGACAACTTTTCTCTTAAATGGTAGATGGCCAGATAATTATAAGAACGAAATTGGAATTTGAAATTGAAATTACATTTTCTATTACGAATAAATTTTAAAAATGCATAAACTTAAAAAAATTCCACCGAAGGGTGGAGATAATATAAGTATATAAAATCCATAAACAACACAATAAAACTGCAATGAAATGATTTTAAAGGCAAATCAACAAACATTTAATATTCATTTCTAGTTCCACCAGAAGTTACTCCAACGGTACGACAAGCCACTGCTGGACCTATAGATACAGAAACATCAGTAAAATTGATTTGCTCTGTTCCTGGAGGCAGTCCTTTGGCAAAACTGACATGGGATTGTCAGGGTATTACTTCAAACACTTCGACAGAAACTGTGGCAGTGTTGGAAATTGAGTTCACAGTGGATAAAAATTATAATGGAAGGATCTGTAGTTGTTCTGCTACTCATCCTATTGGAACTTATAGACCAACATCTCAATATTCATTGGTTGTTTACTGTAAGTTTTATAGCAACGAACTGACAATATTACACTATACACAAAAAATGATAGCAGTTCATATTCTTACAATATCTTCGTTGAAGAAATTTCCCTTGTGAATTCAAACATCGTATATACAAAACCTTTCTTTTGAGTGTTTTTGTAAACAATCAAAACCATGGCCATGTAAGCAAAAAATAGTTATAGTATTTTTTCTTAAATATATCTTTCGTTTAAAATACACTCGTTTTTTTTTGTTTAAGTTTTACTATTCTATTATTGGTCTCTAATTTGGGATATTGCTTGTTTGCTTGATGTTTTAAATCAATTTCAACGCGTTTACATTATCTTTATTTTCTTCTTTAAAATGGACCAACAAGTGAAAAAGTAAAGACAAATATATTCAAGTGTAATTCTCTTAATATTTTTGTCATTCTACAAGCAAACACGGATTGAAAGGTTCAATGGAGCCTTTACATTACAGAGAGTAAGTAGCTACAAGAAATCTTGAACGTTAACAGCCTTAAATATGGATTTGTATGAAAACATCACATGATTGTTTTGTTTGCATACAAGTTTTGCCTTTTTTACTCTCATAATCATTTCTTTGTAAATTATGTTTGACCGTGGTCTTGCCAGACGATGTTGTGTTGTGTTGCTTTGCTATAGCTATCTTATAAATTCTATTTCGTTTTTAGTTCCACCAAGTAAACCAAATTTGATATTGAAACCTGAAATGCCATGGTTTGTCGGAAACATAACAGAAATAGAATGTTCATCTGTACCAGGAAATCCGGAATCAACATTCGAATGGACAAGTGATGATATGGCAGTGGATGTTAATATATCCGAGTTGATCATAGGACCCCTTACAAAATATAACAATGGGAAAATTATTACATGTACAGTTCAGAATGAATACACAATAAAACATGGATTGATACTAAAATCAGACATTGTACATCTAAATGTTGAATGTAAGTTTTTTTTTATTCTGATACTTGATTAATGATGTGATATGATTGTCAATGAGACAGATTCACCAGAGACCATATGGGTCAAGATGAGAAAAAGCTCTGTGTGATTCTGCTTCTCAAAGTAAAAAATCTCTTCTTCTAAAAACAATTTACTTCTTTGCATACATTTAATAACTCCATTGTTTTACACCTTTATTCTATGGTCCTCTGCTCTTCAGATCAGCACAAATTGTTAAGCTTAGTCACTTGTTATAAATTGAAACATGTATATAATCACTGAACAGAGACTTTTGTTTACGTACTATTTTTATGTTCCTAAATTTGTGGAGCATTAAAAATATTGGCCCATTTGACGCAGAAGTAAGTACGTACAAATCGCTTACAGAACGTTTCAGTGTTACTATATGATAACGATTTTGTCTATATATAAAGTTTAAGTATAATGTATTATATTTTCAGAAATTCAAAGTGCATTTATTGAATAATGGACAACAATGCGATTTCAGGGAATGCTGCATACACATAATACTATCGTTATTTGAAATACGAAGTATATTCTTTCCCAATGATAACAAAATAGCAAACATCAATGATTTTAGAGCATGTGACCGGTACTTTGTAGAGGACATTTTTCTTTTTTATTAGATTAAGTATAGATGATTTGTCCGTGTCTTTTATTTTTTCCAAAAAATAATATACTTTTTTATGCTAGATTTTCCTGAAATTGCCATTGACAATTCACCAGTATTTATAAATGAAGGCGACAATGCGTCAATAACGTGCACTGCTTTGGGTAATCCTGTTCCATTAACCCAGTGGTATCTACAGGATCAGAATATAACAGAACCCCAAATAAACCAGTCTGTCCTTCATTTGTTTGATGTTGATCGTTTATTGAATGGATTGGTGTATACATGTAAGACATTCGCAACTTCTTCAACATACGGTTCTCTTGTAGCAGAAAATACGACAGAAATAATCGTTTCTTGTGAGTATCCGCATATAAACAAAATTTATTGAATAATGAAAATAATAAGCCAAGTATTGTTGAACCGATCTAAATGGGCAAACGTATGCATTCCTTTGAAATAATAAAAAAAGTTATAAAATACAACGTCCATTAGATTTTCAATGATATCCATCTGTAACATATTTAGATAGATATATATTACTTGTTGTATAATAGCTAATAACACATATTATTACATGTATTATTTTGTTTTATAATTTACAAACAAAATATACAAAATAGAAAATATTATTAGTATTTTCAATTCCCCTCTGAAATGCCTTCTTTTAGATTTCAGATAGTAAATCGCGCTATACAAATCAGTGAAATAAATAATTAATTTGTTTGTTTTTTAAAGCAAAACCTACATTTCTTGTAGGATTGTTATGGTACTTATATTGAAGGTTTATATCAGCAATGCATTGGATGAGTTTGAAAATCAGCAATGATGATCAATTATTGTAACTACAGGAGTTCTGTCTCTTTGAAATGTAATTTACATTGAACATTGCATTGTAAGCATTCCCACACCTTTATTTGTATTCCTATGAAGTTTATATCAAAGGCGTATGTCAGCAAGATCTTGAAAGAGTGTCTACAAACTATTTTCATAGGAGTAAAAAATATAAGGAAAAAAAACATTGTTAGTGATGTCATGCCTACATTAATTGTAAGAGGTAAAAAAAAACCCACAAATACTGTGTTAAAAGAAAACCACAAATACGGGGGACAAATGAACTCTGTTCTGATTTTTTTACGCCATCAAATAACTAAGCATAAATATAATCTGAACGCAATAGTCTTGCACCAATCAAACGGATGGATACAAACCAGTGTTAAAATCTCATTCAACCTCTTTGTAAACAAGAGAAGCAGTAGGTTGGAAATCCGAAATTGGTTATTGGATGATATCTTAAATATAGAAGTCCATTTTTCTCCAATGTTTTTCATTTTGTAATATTTTGTTCCATTCCGAGGTAACACGAGGTAACACGTAGACGAAACACTAAGAGTATTTGCATTTGATCCCCAAAACGTACCTTATTGGAATGAATTGCCTATTTTGCATTAAAAGAGAGAAAATAGTTTTGTATTAAAAAAATATGGCTCGCGTTAAACTTAGTTTTACTGTCGCGGACATCCGTTTACAAACCTTTACATCAGCTATGCTACCTTGTAAATTCAATTTGCAACAGTAAAAGCTGCTTTCTACATTTGACGTATTTGAAATGCAATACAACACGCGTAGCTCGTAGTAAATAATTGATTGGAGATATAAAATCATACTATCTTGTTACATTGTATGTATCCAATAGGAATTACATAGAGGGAACACTTTATTGAATTGACAACCTTACAATAGAATGCTAGAATTGGTGTCATGAAACAATATTAAAATCAAACAAACGAATTTTAAAGTTGATATGTCTAAGAGAGAATGTTATGATAGGTCAAATATCGTGAGTTTTATATTTTCCAGATCCTCCAGTCATAACAAACTCTCAGGTTTTAAATGGATGGACCGTATATGAAAATAGGGCTGTTACATTTCGATGTGAAGTTGACAGTAATCCCGTTCCAACTATCACATGGTTGTTTTTGACTAATCAGACTAAACTTAAAACAGAATACGGTGTTTATACCAGTAATTACACCATACACAATACCAATTGTTTCCATACAGGCACATATCAATGTCAGGCTGCAAATAATATAAGTGGGGTTACTTCAACATATGCCAAAGATGTAGCTTTAAATGTTCTGTGTAAGTAGTATTTTGATTAAAGAAATTTGCAGAAGTATTTTATGTGTCACATACAGCATTTAAGATGTACGTTTCATGACCATAGATAATAGCAATTGATTTGTTTTCTGGGATATATATATATATACACCGGATATGGTGTACAAATTTTTGCACCTCATGTTTGCGGTATACCATCTTTTCTGCAAGTTCATTGTTTTCTGTTTGGTATTTAATTAATAAGATCCATTTTTACATCTGGTGATCCGTTTATTTGGCAATCGCCATGGCAGTCAGCAGGGTTTAAGAACATCCGTTGTTCGACCTGCTAGTCAAATGCGTTTTGTTAAAATATACTTTTTCACTTTTTTTGGTCTTTTGGAAAATGTTGTTTGTGCTGTATTTAGACCACTCTACCAAGAAATTTGTTTTGCATGCACACGTATAAAAATTGCGGTTTTTATCCAACGCAATCATAGGTTTGAACGTTGTTTTCAATTTAGACTTGTATATATATATATATATATATATATATTTCATTTTATAGAATGTTAAGAACAATACACTTCTCGCTACATATGAATTAAATAAAAAAAGAGACAGTTAGTGGCATTAGTGGTATCCATTTTTCTATGTTTATTCTTTTGCATGCTTCTTTCTATGTATATTCTGTTACATGCTTCTTTCTATATATATTCTGTTGCATGATTCTTTCAATGTATATTCTGCTGCAAGCATGAGGATTGAAATTGATTGAATGTGCATATGAAAATTATATAAAATGTAAAGTTATATTTTATCAGGTTCACCGCGTTTAGATACCCGATATCAAGCCCTTGCTAAAATAGTTGCTGTAGAGGAAAATGGCGACTTACAGTTAACTGCCCGTATAATAGCATATCCTTCACCAGTAATTCGTTGGATATTTAAAAATGAAATCAATTCAACATCAGTATTGGTTGGGAATTTATATGTATCGAACTTGCATATACCAGATTTAAAACAATCGGAGTTTGGAGAATATACTTTACATGCATTTAATGACCACGGGAACCTTTTTGAACAAGTAAATGTTGTACCAAAAGGTGAGTGTTTACATTATGTCAATTTTTTGGTTACTCTTTCTAAGGAGTTAAATTTTGTTATGAAACGATGTTCAACAATAACGGATACAACGACGAATGGAAAAGCGCGCCATTATCAAGAAGAAAAATAAAAGAAAAGAATCTTACTTGAATCATACAAATCATTAGACCGCATACACATACGACACTTACTTGTATTGGAACATTCTTTTCTCTTTGAAAGCCAACCAACATATCAAAACTGATTTTTTTTGTCGTTCATTCATTTTGTTCTATATACACAATAAGGACAAACAATTGCGTCAGTGTATTGCAATAAACTTGTGCTGTATTTTAGCCTTTCTCGAATTCTTAAGGATAATAATATGTTTTACGTTCTACATGTTGATAAAGACTAAAAGGAGCTGCGGTTTCTTTAGAGATGCCTGTTAACCAAACAGTTGCATAGCTAAAATCACATGAGTGAACGAAAAAACTTGAAATATTTGATTCATCATAAGACTGTCTTTAATGTTAAAACAATCGCTTGTATGATTAATGTTCCTGTATATTTAAAAGGTAAACCCGAATCGCCTTCTCACGTATTAGTTGTTTGTAAGAGGACATCTGTGACAATTGTCTGGAAATCTGAGTTTGATGGAGGCGCCAAGCAAACGTTTATGGTTACATATTGGAGAACTTTAGACGGTACAACGATTTCGTCAGCACTTAAAGGAAACCTTACTGAACAAGCTGTCATCAAAGAACTAATGTCCGATTCCATGTACAATTTTATAGTTCAAGCTACGAATAATTACGGAACCTCAAACTCTATAATTAAAACATGCAAGACTGACGCCAAAGGCAAGTACCAATCAAAAATATTTCTCTAAAGACGTTTTTTTTTTTTAAATGAAAGACAAAATTATCGTTTATATATTCTGATTGGCAACGATGTCAAAGACCCTTGACAACGTTTGGCATCACAGAATGAGACTTATTACAGAATTTGCATTCAAAATTGGTGGGATTCGTGTTGCTTGATCTTTAAATTCTATGTAGTATATTGAAGATTGTTGTTTGTCTTTTCGTCTCTTTCTATTCGACTTATACATTTTGATTGTCCTTTTGCCACCATCTTCCTTTTTAAAATTGTTTTCCTGATATTACTATATTAACATATTCGTTATTGATCCTATGATTCTAAAATATATATAAAAATGAGGAGAAGTGGTATGATTGCCCATGAAACAACTATCCACCAGAGTTTAAAGAAATTGGTAGTAAGCAGTTATCTGTTTGTTCTAACATATTGTAGTTTTGAATATTCAGACTACAGCAGCAAACCTGCTCAATGATACACAAAATTTACGAATTATGTTGTCAGCTAACATAATAGTACCAGGCTTATAATTTAATACGCCAGACGCGCGTTTCGTCTACATACGACTCATCCGTGACGCTCAGATCAAAATATTTATAAGCCAAACCAAGTACAAAGTACATTACAAAAACCTAACGAGGCACTTGACCATTGTATTGTTTTCAGTCTTGATATGAATTCCTACATGGAACGCCCCCCCCCCCCCCTCCAAAAAAAACCAAACAAACAAAAACACTTACCATCACCCTAAATAATAGCTCTGTGTGTTTTCAGTTTTCCATGTTGCAGCTGTTAATAGGATTGCTTTCTGTGAATATGTGCAACATTGACTTACTTTACTTTTCGTTGTTTGATAGTATAAGAGTATTTGCTTAACGTCAAGGACTATAACACTAAATGCAAGTTTACGACCAGAATACATAAAACAATTTATCAAATAAGTAGGTACGGGAAGTAAGTTAATACGGATGTATGGAGGGAAATGTAGACAATTTAGGAGTTCATTCTCAAATATCCCTTTAAAAATCTATATAAAAGATTTTATATTCAACCAGATATAACATCCAAAGAAGAACAGAATGGGATGTCAGACGCAACTATAGGTGCAGTCGTCGTTGCTGTTATATCAATATTCGTTATCATTCTATTGATTTCTATTTTCATCTTAATACCGTTTTGTAAGTATTATAGTTTAGTCTCATCAGAATATTTTTGATATAATAATTTGAAAATTTGGTGTCTTGAATAGTGCCTGATTAGTTAAAATAGCTTTTGTATTTCTGCACACTTCATGTTAGATATTATTAAAATTGATAAATATACATGTATACAATATATGTTTTTTTTTCTTTCTTTATCAAATTACATTCAACGATAACAATTTCACTCTAACTATTCTTTTAATACAGATTATAGCTCGACAGTGACTTTCTTGTAGCTAAAGAACAAATGCAAAAAAGATATACTGATTAAATAGTTAATGACATATTTTGTTTCAGATCGCCAGCGTAAGAACAAAGACGGGTAAATAATATGTTAGACCGTAACACTTCATTTCCTTTTGGAGTAGATCTATTCAAGTCGATGTTTCGATTGATCAATTAAATTTCTGTACACATGGGTTATAACTGAAAATAAAACTGATCAACATTTATAAAAAACAGTAATAAATAAACAATTGAGTAGTATCATTATACATTTTTTTCGTTGTTTTTATTTGTAAATATTTTATTTACTTTAATCAAAACCAGAGATTCTTGTTTAAAATGCCTGTAATTGAGTGGTTGCCGTTTTATGCTGTTTCTCCTATTTTTTTTCGTTTATTTTTTTTATAGTTTTTTCTTGTGTTCTGACGTTACACCACTGTCCCAGGTAAGGGAGAGGGTTGACATCTTCAAATAAGTTTATATGTTAAAATTATATTATGTTTTTTTCGCTCATTTTCTGTACATAAATCAGGCCGTTAGTTCCTCATTTGAATTGTTTACATTTGTCATTTTGGAGCCTTTTAAAGCTGACTATGCGGTATTGGTTTCGCTCATTGAGGAAGGTCGTACGGTGACCTATAGTTGTTGACTTCTATGTCATTTGGTATCTGATGAGTTGTCTCATTGGTAATTATACCACATTGTCTTATGTTTATATATTAAAGCTGGTAACTTAGACAAAATATCGTGCACAATAGTATTTCCGACGAGGGATGACGACAGACACATGCCATACATTTGTTATGTTGTAGTTCTTTTATATGTCACTTTACACGTAGATCTTCTTTTTACATTGTAACCGGTAAGTTAAAAAATTCAAGCAATACGAAAATTCAATGTTGTTATTTGAGTCCAGTGACAAATAAGTATGAAAAAGTTTGCAAACTATTTACCAGGTCAATATTCTTCGAAACTCTTGACTGGAAAAAAGTCTTTTGAAGGAAAAAGCAAAAATATTTTATGCTCTTTTATATACATATTTTACAATATTTTCTCAAATAATTAATGATTAGAATAGCCATGAAAAAGAGAGTCGAAGGATACCAAAGGGACATTCATACTCATAAATCGAAAATAAACTGAACAACGCCATGACTAAAAAAGAAAAAAAGACAAACAGTCAAACAACATTTCACAAAACAACATGAAAACTATCAATTAGTTAAAGTAAAGAAGATGATTATACCTATATATCTAAAGTTTGCAGAACCAGAATCAGGGGTATTTGAAGCCTGTTCGGGATGTTTCTGTTAGATCTGCAAGAGACAACGTTTATCATGTGCCGTCAGACCAACAATACGAATCTATTCGTCGGGATGCTGTTGGTAACTATTTTTTTCCATTTTATTTGATTCTGTTAGAAATTCGGGGGCCAATATGAATGAAAAGACACAGAGTATATATGTGAAAGGCACGGCATCCCAAACATACGACAAGAAGTCTTAACATGGTTTATATCCAATTGTTCAAAACATTTGTGAATTTGTTATCTTAATAACTGGAAATAACATGCGAATTTTTCCCCAAGTGATTTATGAGGTGTAATTGTCCATATTTATTGTTAAATCTGTAAACCTGTAAACTCCTTAAGAATATTTTACGATGTTATATTAGCTGATGGTTAATTAGTTTTTGAAAAAAAAATACAAGTGATTATTTTCATTGTTTTTGAAAATTTTTTTAGATAGACGAAATAGACTGTTCTGTTTAATTGTAATTAAAATATTAAATCCGATTTTAGCCCGGTTTTACAAAAGGCAAACAGTTTTATCAAATTTCCTTGAAATACACATTCTTTTAATTTTTTATCGTACTTTGTTTCTTTTGACTTATACGTAAACATTAGGTGAGTTAATAATGATAATATTCTAGATAAGCACCATTTTCAGTCAGTGGCGATTCAAAAAAACTATGTAATCCTTCTGCTATTCTCTGGGCAAGAAACATTTATCTCTTCGGTGAACAGTAAACTGATCCAAAATATGTCATAAGATTAATGACAGAATCAAATTCTGCTTCCGCAAACAGTCTTTAGACCCAATATAAGACAGTAATGAAAACAATAGTAGAAGATCAAAAGTGATGGAGAATACTATTATACAAAATAACTGAACCAAAAGAACAAAATGAAAGTCAAAGTAAAAACTGCCGGTGTAGTTTTTTTAAAAGTTCTAGAAAAGGATAAATATAGTTTGAATAACAATTTTGCATCTTTAGATATGCTTTTCTATAATTGCTTATGTATTTCAACTTTTTTACAGTTGAAGCAAATGTGAATCCCACAAGGTAAAACATAAAAGTCTTTAGCACGGCTACCATCAATAGGATATAATTAGAATGAAAAGCTGTAGATATGTAATTGGTCACTGGTCGTACGCAGTATAATATATTGTTTTATAATTTAAGAGCCTCGCGAATCGTAGCGCTTTCATAGCCAGAAATTCGACATTGTGAGCTGATTGCATGCCTTATCTATTAAAAAGTCAAATAAGAAAAATACCGAACTCCAAGGAAAATTCAAAACGGAAAGTCCTTTATCAAATGGCAAAATCAAAAGTTCAAACACATCAAACGAATGGAAAACAACTGTCATATTCCATTAATGTATCTTATTACTCACACAGGTACATGTATTGTAAGCAATCGACGATCATAAATGTCTAAGTAAATGATAAACCTAATTTTGGTTGTGTTTCCATCGCTAGTTCAAATGATACTTTGTTGAGAATGCAACTGGCACTGCTTAATTAGGAATTTCGTGAAGAAAAACTCTCAAGTGAGACAAAATTTATGCACAAAAAATCCGCTTCGTCGACATAAGATTCAATAGTGGTGCTCGAATGAAAACAGTTAGTCAACTTAAACTAAAATAAATACGCACTTGAAGATGATTAAGAAGCAAATTTGTTCTAAAGTGAGCTAAGGCTGTCTGTGCACCATGCACGAGAGTACGTCTACAAACAGTGTCGTTGACCAAGTAATTATAAAAAGACTCGTTACAATACGTTTGTAAAACTTTGAATTTTTGAAATACTAAGGCTTTTCTACCTCAGGAATAGATTACATTAGCTGTATTTGGCAAAGCTTTTAGGAAATTTTGGTCCTCAATGCTCTTCAACTTCGTTCTTTATTTGGCCTTTTTAACTTTTTTTTATTCGAGCGTCACTGATGAGTCTTTTGTAGACAAAACGCGCGTCTGGCGCAAATACAAAATTTCAATCCTGGTATCTATGATAAGTTTATTTGTAATCAGTGCGATACGTGTAACCAATATTTAAACACATTTGTTTCATAAAATGTAAACTGTTAATGAATACTGCCCTTTACAATGTTGTGATAGGTTAATATATGATGAACCTGAACCTGAAAACATCCAAGGAACGCATTACAGTGATGCATCTTCGTCAGGTAAAACTTTGTTTGTTGTTTAGTAAAGATTAACTGAAATTGGGATGCATTCTTCTATTATTATTGAATAAACTTTATTTGTTACTTAAACTGGAAATTTCAAGGCTGATTTTTTTTTTTATCAAATTCAATTTTTCTCTCGCCGTTTTTTCCTTAAATTTTTTGATGACAATCAAAAGATCAAATCTTTAGTATATTCTCATAGCAACGATTGAGAATTATGTCAATATTAAGAAGAAGTAATATTTAAGGCATCACTTGTCTTAAATGGTTTATTTTTTCCTTACCGCCAATTTTCAAATTTGCTAAACACATGTAGTTATGTCTTAAGTACAATCCCATTCTTGTTCCCTTCAACCTACTCAAATAGATTATCTTCATTTTTTTTAGAATTACAGAACAAAAGACAAAGGTAAGAATCATGCTATACGTAATAAAAATGTACACCAAATTGTATACACACAATTCTTTACCGGCGACGAGCAAATTAAAGAGAAGAAATATTATATATGAGAACTGAGCCGATTATGAAACACATCTAACGCTTGAAGTAATTACAGTTAAAGCACATACATGTACAGATCACCGTTGCTTTTTGTTAAAACTTAAGCTGTATTCGTTGGGTGTTTTCAGAGTAATGTTTAATTAGGCATAACCATTGATTCTAGAAACAAGGAGATGTGGTATGATTGCCAATGAAACATGCATCCTCCAGAGTTCAAATGACGTGGAAGAAGCTAATTATATGTCACTGTACGGCCTTCATCAATGAGAATAACCCATTTTGTATAACCAGTTGTAAAAGGCCTCGACGGGAAAAATAGGAAATAATTCAGGCGAGAAAACTTACGGCCAAAGAAATTTAATTTACGAAAAATAATTGTTCATTTCTATTGATAACGTTTCAAAAATGATATTGGTGGTCGAAATTAGTATCAGTAAATGTACTGAATGAAGGAATATCAAAAATTCTTCGCAACAAAAATGCATAATAAAACACTGAAGTTATTACCAGTATCGGTGTCGACATGACAGTTGCTGTGATACTTGAAGGTTATCCACGCTGATCAGCTGTGGTAAATATGTGTGTAATACAAGCTATTAAACAATCTCATTTCAAATTTGTTTTCCTTGTAATTAAAGAAATCAAGATGATACCAGTATAGAACAGCGAAGTGTGTATACGAATCAAGAAGCCCCGACAGGTATTATATACTTATATAATGAGATTAATTATAATACATACCCGTTAGAAGGCTTCTTATTGTGGTGGATTGAGAAAATAGAAAATAATAAAAATATAATCAAACCTAGCAACATATGTTTTAATTTCCATAACTAACAAATACGGCAGCCTTTCCAAATATAAAAAAACGTTTGTTTCTTAACATCCAGCTTGTAATCGTAAGTTGATATTCCACAAACGAACGAACATATGTATGCTTATGGTGCTTCCCTTTTATTATATCAACCTGCCAAGTGGCTCTGTAACTTCGTATCACGGCTTTGAGATGTAAACATAAGTTATCAACGACGTCACAATAGATGAGGAGACGTTATCGTGCTTACCATTGTCAAGCGTAAAACTATACAAGAGAGTGAAAAGAAACCCCAGAAATAACACGATAAACAGATTATTCTGCATATCGATATCGTAAAATACAAGCCGCTCGACACACTGTGAAGTTTTATTTGCTGGTTCGTTACTCCCACTAGCCCCCAAAAAATCAACATTGTGGCTCGCGACCGTTAAACCATTGTGGTGACGTCAGCCTATTCATTTACAGTGGATTCGTTTTCTAGAATCAACGCATCCTAAATCTGCCGCTGAAATTGACTCACCAAATTATATTCAATTGTTTCCTTTGTGTGCCTAATTTCTTTAAGTTTGAATTGGCTAATTTACTGATTTCTGTTCACTAATGGAATTAATTTAAAAACTGACCTTTAATTTTTGTAATGTTTATATGCCTTCACTGGGAATCGAACCCTTCCTTGAAATCTGTTATGTGTGACTGACATCAACACACCGACGAAACCTCTCAGCTACCAATGGGTTACACTATAGATGTTTATTTTATATATTTAAATGAACATCTGATATACATCGGTTCATCGGACACACAGGGCTTGTACCTTTATATAGACACAATAGGCAGTCGTATAGTAGGAGTTGGTAGCCGCGAGGTTAGCATGGTTAAAATTAATGAGTTAAAGATCGGGATTTGTCGGTTTAGGTTCGAATCCCTGTATTCTCTCTGTTGTTCCAATTCTTAAGTTGTCCTGTTTTTTTTCTAATTTTGCAAGTTATAGTGGATATTTTTGTAATAATAGCGAGTTTTACCGGTTTTTTTTTTTTTTTTTATTATTATTGGCTATTTCACATGTTTGAAACAAAAATGATTACATTCTATTTTTCAATTTTTGTTTTATAAATATAGTATGATTTAATCTGTTTTACTACATAATTTTACAAAGGTTTGTTCGCAAATTCCTATGCGACAAAATCGTGATGTGCCTAGAGTGCTAGAAAAAAAATTTCGATAACATACTTATTATATATACTTTATATATGCTTTTTAATCGGGTTGTTATCTCTTTGACACGTTTCCCATTTCCATTTTCAATTTTATTAGAAATAATTTCGAATATGTCTTATTTTGTATAAACAGATAATATTCATATGCCTGGTAATATCAAGATCTTTAAAGGTAGAAGTGTTATATTTGTATTTTGTTAACCAATAAATTGTGATCTTAGATTTATCAATGCATCGTTGGACACGATAACATGGTTATTTAAACTCAGTTACAATACCTTCTAATTAAGAAAAGGCCTTAATTTTGAAAAGAAATTAACACAATAGTTTAAGTTATAGATACAATGAATAAGAGTAGATTCATGAAAAACAAACCATTCGGCCTCCGGGCTCATGATTTCTTTTTCAAGAATCCACGCTTATCCATTGTATCTATATAACATATTTAACGATACTTATGTGAATAAAACTCGACAATCTATACATTTATAAAAATCATCCGCTGTATCCTTCGATAGTTTGAAATCCATGTATTATGATTGCAAGCATCTAAAGCTTTTTTTTTATATTTTAATTTCAAAGGATATTTATCATCATATTTCATTGTATTTGAAGGAGCAAACCATAAGTTTCATTGTCAATAATGCCATACAAAATCAAATACATTATAGAACAACTTACAACGGGAACAGTACTTTTTGGAAACCGATTTGGACAGATAATTTGATAGAAAAATGCAATTTGAAACATTAAACAACAATCATTTTGAGCCAAAATCACTTAAAATTAAACAAAACTATTGTTTTAAATGCTAGACTTGAGCTTGTATCGTACAACTTGTTTTTCAAAATATTGGGTACTCGATAACGAAACAGGTTATGCATTTTGTTGTTTTTGTCATATATATGGTTAGTTGACTGTTTAATGTACAAAAGCATTTTAATTTATATTAATTTGAGTATGATTTTGTATGTGGCCGAGTTATTTATATATAGATTGAATAGAACACGAACAAAGATCAAATAAATGCAGGTTTTTCATTGAAGTCTAAACAAGAAAGAGTATTTTTCAGTTTTGGCGACAGTTTTAATGAGTATACGATATGTACCTCAGACATTACTAAAATTACTTTAAGTAAAAAGCAGAACATTTTTTCTCAAATATAGCATCAGTTGTACTTATTGTGTTTATATTGCAGATCATTCCACTGTGCAATCTACTAGCAGGTAATTTATACATCATTATATGTTTGCATCTTTGGCAAAATAGCTCTGATTTCGTGTTACATGCAGTATGTTTGAGAAAAGTTGTGTTGATTAATTATAATCATTAACACGAAAAAAATGTTTTGTCAATAAGGATTCATGCTTAGAAACTCACCATCATATCCGATGTATCCTATTGCAGGAAATGAGCTTTAGTTTTTTTCTTCATATCTTCAAATCTGTAAATGTTTTATATGAACAAATGGTGAATCGAAATATGGTATCATTATTATGTAAAATAGATTCTATTTTCAGTATAATACTTCCACAAATTTTAAATAATAGACTATGTTTTTTTTTGATAAATTTTAATCGATTAAGATTCAATTGGAATTCTTACACCAAAAACCTGATTTAAAGCCCTTTCCTGCAAGTAAAGAATATCTGAATTTGACTATCAGAATTATAACTTGTACAGATGTATTACCTCTTCTTGTCTAGTAGCCCCGGTTCGGTGTTATGAAAAGCAACAAATGGTAAGGTAGATACTTTGGAAAATATTTATGACTTCAAAATTAAATTATTTCCTATTTATAATCAGGTGGAAATTGACTGATGATATGTTTTCTATTAAACTGAATAGCCAAAAAAAGTGCTCTATTTGATTTTCCTATCAAAAACATTGAAAAAGTTTTCAAGAAATGTATATAGAAGTATTTTTGAATATCTAAGAAAACTGCTGAGGTCCAAGTATTGGGTCGTCTTTATTTTTGCTGCATACGTATCTAGGAGTTTTTTGGAGATGATTAAATGACTTCTGTAGATACATGTTTCCTTAGTTTTATCAGTAATGTGTTTTCCAGGATACATTTTACAATTATACTTTATTGAATATCTACTTATATGAATGTTGAAAAAAAAAATTATGAGATAAGAAAATGTCACGTATCTGCACGATAAAGAACCTTTGTTACAACTTTTCGTAGGTTACATAATTTAAGACTTTTGTAACCCTTATCTCAGTCATGTCCAAATTTCCAGCGTCAATCTCACCAAGGCAAATATGCGGAACATAGTACTTTCAATAAATATCAATTAAAACGATTGTCACTGGACATTGAACAGTGACAATCGTTTTAATTGTCACTGGACATTGAACAGACAGCAATCAAGCATTGATTTCTTTAATATTAGGACAGATTTTGTACATCAATTAGATACAAATACATACGAGGATATGGGGACAGGAACAAAAGGTAAGGATTACTATTTGTCTTTATTATCACTTTCTTAACTTTGTGTCAAAGCTTAAAAAAGTAAACTATGAGTATGGTTAATACTAATTATCCCGTATTTTGGTTGGTATAACGAATTTCGAATATGATAAAATAATTTAAGCAATGCGTGCGATATAAATGTGGAGCTATCAATTTACGAAACAAGTAAAATGGTATATATAATATATTTACAATGATTAGGTTATTAGACATTGAATGGCTGCAATTATGAACTGTTCGTTTGAAGACCATATGTAAATTATTCGTTTTATGTTGAACAGCAATAGCATTCATTTGGAAAATTAAAAAAGGCGTATGTGAATTTTACAGTATTTAAAAATAAAAAAATAATATATATAGTTGCAAGAATATATAAAAATATAATAGAAATAAATTACCACACAATACAACAAAACAGATGAACCATCAACACTCGACCTGAATAAAAACTAGACGTACAAAAAAGACAAACAAAACAAAACAACATATGGTTCAGATAGTGTGACCTATAAAGCACATCATTTGGTGAAATAGTTTATCATACAAAACCCTCCCACTAAGTCTATTTAGAACACATGTTGTAAAAATAAAACACCCTATAAAAAGCAACTTGAAAAGTGCAGCTACCAACACATGCAACAGCATAACCGCTTACGTGAACAAGGAAATACACAACAATGGTACATACATTGGAAACCATGGTCAAAATGTACTTGCTACAACACAAAGCTTGCTTCCATTACTGCAAGTAGTTGCATACTGACGACGAAGAGTAGTAGAAGTAAGAAATCTTCAATTTGAAAACGTACACTTATATTAGTTGATGTGCTTTAGCGTCTAAATATTTTCTTTTACTTTTAGTTACACAACCAATTAAGTAAGTACAAATTAATTTTAAGTGTATACAAATATATCCTTAAGGAAAGGCAACAGTACTATACCGCTGTATAAATTGTATTCCAAAATTTATCGCGAATATCAATTCTACAATTGTTTGTGTATTTTTATTAGATAAGTGTTTTCTTTTCGTCTGACTGTGGTGCTGTAGTTACATTTTGTCAGATGTAGATTTTCAATTATCACCTTGGTATCTTACTTGTAATTTTTCACATCTGTTACATTCCAAACATTTGTTGTTTAAATGTAATGTTTAAAATCTAGAAAACAGGCTTACACCAGTCATGTTTGGTCTTTTATAGCTTGCTGTTTGGTGTGAGCCAAGGCTCCGTGTTGCAGGCCATTCTTTGACCTATAATTGTTTACTTTTTACACATTGTGACTTGGATTGAGAATGGTCTTATTGGCACTCATATCACATCTTCTTATTTCTAATTATGTCAGAAATATTTTGAAATAATGCCAGTTGGGTTGTTATGGTATGTGGAGCCATTACAGATGCTTCGATTTCCCCTCAATAATTTGAGAACTATTACACACGAAATATATTTAACATTCAAATGCGAATATATGCTCTTGTTTCTGTTTTTGTTTATTGGAGTGTAAATGATCAAGACTATTATTCAATGAAAATATGTAATAATGTCGGTATGAATAAAAACATTATCTCAGAAGATTAAATAAGAATGGATACTGAAGTAGTTAATTTGTAAAAACCTTTGCAGTGTTTTATGATTGTAAATTACTAGTCTATAACTGCTTTGTACACGTATACGAAGATATTTAACTTTGCAGAAAACCACCAACGACACGCTTATCAGACAATTATATTCAACTTTACGAATCGATGAAAGCGCGTTCATGTGGTAAGTAGGTTAAATGTTTAAACATGCATTGATCTACTTAAAAATATAATACACTAGTGCATAATGCTTTTATTTTAGAAGTCCAATTTTGAATTCAAATACATGTATTGCCTTACTTTATTATTGTGTGCCTTACTAAAAAGCAAATATATGATAGATTAAAACTAACATTATAACAAATATGTCCAATAACGTAAAATGTCATAAACTTTAGATTATATACTGAGTGCCAGTAGAAATGCAACCCCAAAATGCATTTTCTATCTAATAGATATTAAAACTGTCGGATATTCTTTAAAAAATAAAAATAACAGTTTTTAAATGTGTTGCATTAGAAACACTTTTCTAGATTTATCTTCATCATGAACGCTCATATCCCCGAAAATGACAGTCCAGGATGTATAACTACTCAAATACGTAAAGAGTTATATATTCTTGCCAGCTGAAACACTAACTAAAATTTTGCAGATGTCTTATGATATGCAAACAGAAAATATTCCGCTATTAGCGTTCCTTATGAAGGTTAACCTAGAAAAGCTCTTCGGATGCATGCAATTGATAAAGTTTTTTTTTTTTTTTTTCATTTTGTGCAAGCAATTCTCAGTTTCTGATTTTCAGATTCTAATGTTTGCCATTTCCACATTTTCACAAATAATTTGAAGTGTACACTTTGTATGTACCACAATGACCCTATGGCAAAGGCTCTCCGATTAGCAATTTTCCTTTGCCTTTGATCTAGTGTGGGTTTTGATTTTGACCCCAATGCGACTATAAAAATAAGTAATTGCATTTCTGGAATTTCGTACTATTATGTCCTTCACGGAGAGGCTATTGCTTACAAGCAAGATACTAAACTTAGCGTTCATTATGGTACATTTAAATATATCCACCATGATTGGAAGACAATGATAACATTGCTTTGTAATTGTTAGTCCGCTTGTCGGTGCTTCCATCCACATCTTTCTGCTATCCAAAATAGATATAAAATATCTCTCGATAGTTTTTTGTGTAGTATTTTGTAAATGTTCTTTGGCTTTTTTTGCTTTTTCTTCTTTTGGCTTGTGGTTTTTCGACTGTTCCATTTGTGCCTTCCTTTTTAAGATAATGTGAATCATATACCCCTATTTTTGACATGTTAACCTATTATGTCTGTTTGTTTTGTTCACACATTGTTGTCAATATGATTTAATTTTATGCGACTGTCATACAAGTGAGAGGTTTAGCTAGCTATGAAACCAGGTCTATTCCATCATTTTCTACATAAGGAAATGCATGTACCAAGTCAGGAATATGACAGTTGTTTTCTATTCGTTTGATGTATTTGAGCTTTTGATTTTGCCATTTGATAAGTGACTTTCCGTTTTGGGTTTCCTTGGAGTTCGGTATTTTTGGGTTTTTTTTCTCACTTTTTCATATAACGTTTACAGAAAGATATGAAACTCTTGAAAAACCATTTAATGGTTTTAGCTTTGGTAGTTCAAATTCGCTTCAATAGTTTCAATTGGGTAATTTTACTCACTTCTGTAACTATTTGCTTTGTGCATTTCTTACGGAGGTTTATTTTTCCAATGTACATAGAATACAACGAAGTCATTACATCTTTCGAAATAAAATACTTGGAACTCTAATCAGTGATAATCTGACTATAACATTACAAATAAACGTTAAATTAAAAAAGAAAACAATTGATCTTATTTTTATTTTAGAAAATACTTCAAAGTTAGACCAAGGCAGGTTAGTATATTCACAACCATGCAGTCGATTTGAATCCTAAATTGTAATCCCTCTTCGCTGTTAATAATTAACCAATGCAATTTTGAATGATCATTGATGTATAAATAAAACTACAAAACTCGATTTGGACTATTCAAGAAAGAAGTTTAAAAACTTGGAAACAATTTTCATTAAAACTGTTAATCTCAAAAAAAAATACCAGACATATAATTAGATACGACAGACGAGCGTTCTGTTTGAATATTAATCACTGTTTATATACTTCATGTTAAAATGCTAGATTTTGATTGGTTAATACGAGGGAGACAATTTACCCTATCCCATGGCAAATACTCTATAACCCTTCACGGAGACGCTTGCTCAAGAGTGCGCTTTAATAAATACGGATGACTGTTATGTACAAGACGACATAATTTATTACTTTGAATTTGAAATTTTATAGACAGTAATAACAGAACATTCAGTATGATAAGTTAAATATTACACATCTGAGAGGGTGATAGAGCAGATTGTTACCCCTCGAAAAGACATTGACAACCTTGGCTTCGCCTCAGTTGACAATGCTTTCTCTGGGTAACAATCTGCTCTATCACCGTCTCAGCCATGTGTTATTTATATAATGTCGTTCATATCAAATCAACAACTAAGTTGGGAAACCATAAACCATAAACCTAAAATCTCCCTTTTCCCTATATGCATGAGGTAAAAAGGTAAAGGTTTTGAATGGTTTAAACATTTTATGAACAGTAAATACAGCAAATACAAGTATCAAATGTTTATCCTCCATACTAGACTGGTGATTTTAACGTGAACGAAACGGTCACTAGTAACGATCCAGTAGTTGAAATAAAATTGAGAATGGAAATGGGGAATGTGTCAAAGAGACAACAACCCGACCATATAACAGACAACAGCAGAAGGTCACCTACAGGTCTTCAATGTAGCGAGAAATTCCCGCACCCGGAGGCGTCCTTCAGCTGGCCCCCAAACAAATATATACACTAGCTCAGTGATAATGAACGCCACACCAAACTCCAAATTGTACACAAGAAACTAAAATTAAAAATAATACAATACTAACAAAGGCTAGAGGCTCCTGACTTGGGACAGGCGCAAAAATGCGGCGGGGTTAAACATGTTTATGAGATCTCAACCCTCCCCTTATACCTCTAGCCAATGTAGAAAAGTAAACGCATAACAATACGCACATTAAAATTCAGTTCAAGAGAAGTCCGAGTCTGATGTCAGAAGATGTAACCAAAGAAAATAAACAAAATGACAATAATACATAAATAACAACAGACTACTAGCAGTTAACTGACATGCCAGCTCCAGACTTCAATTAAACTGATTGAAAGATTATGTCTTCATCATATGAATATCAGGCACAATCCTTCCCGTTAGGGGTTTAGTATCATACCATCATAACATATATGAGAAGAACATAACCCGTGTCATGCCAACAACTGGTTTTTAAATAAATGTGTTTAGTGCCGATGCAAAGACCCTATAAGTGAATCAATATTAACGCCAAAATATGCAATCTTTAATGACCTGACAACAGTATCGTAACTATATCCCTTCTTAATAAGTCTATTTAAAGGTTTTGTTAGCTTCAGAGGTGAATACTGACATTTTTGTGCTTTATAAAGAATATTTCCATAAAAAATTGGATGTGAAATACCTGAACGTGTAAGAAGTCTGCATGTTGAGCTATATTTACGAATGCTGTCCTTATACCGATGATAAAATTTAGTAAATGTTTTGACTAGTTTGTGATATCGAAAACCCTGGTGTAATAATTTTTCAGTAATACATAAATTTCTCTCGTTGAAATCTAAAACATTGTTACATACACGAGCGAATCGTACAAGTTGAGATATATAAACACCGTAAGATGGTGACAAGGGAACGTCACCATCTAAAAATGGATAATTAACGATAGGAAATGAAAAATCATCTCTTTTATCATATATTTTAGTATTAAGCTTTCCGTTAATGATATAGATATCAAGATCGAGGAAAGGGCAGTGGTCATTGTTAGTATTAGCTTTATTTAAAGTAAGTTCAACAGGATAAATTTCTTTAGTATACATACTGAAGTCGTCATTATTGAGAGCCAAAATATCATCCAAACATCTAAAAGTATTATTAAATTTGTGTATCAGATGTTGTTTCGATGGGTCTTTGCTGATTTTTGTCATAAATTGTAACTCATAGCAATACAAAAAAAGGTCCGCAATAAGTGGTGCACAGTTAGTCCCCATTGGAATTCCGATAACCTGACGATATACGGAATCTCCAAAGCGAACAAAAATGTTATCTAGTAAAAATTCAAGGGCATATATAGTATCAAAGCATGTCCAATTGACATAGTTTTTTTGTTTATTGCTACTAAAAAATGACCTAAAAGAGTTTGAACATATATATTCACATTCTGACTTTTTAAATGCCAATTTAATTAGGTGTGTGAATTTTTTCTTAATGAGAATGTGAGGCAATGTGGTATATAGGGTAGAAAAATCAAAACTTTGAACAGATTCAAAATCACCAATATATGCATGTAATTTATCAAGTACTTCCAACGAGTTCTAGACACTCCAAAAGTAATTACATTGTGTAATTCCACTATTTTCGAAGGCCTTATTTGAACAATTTATTATCAGGTTTTTGATAGTACCAAGTGTACTGGTAAGAAGAATAGACAATTTAGTAGTGGAACAATGGCTTGAAGACGAAATGAATCTATATTTGTAAGGTGTTTTGTGTAGCTTCGGAAGCCAATACATAGTTGGGACTTTCATTGTATTTGGTTCTGCCTATAAAGCGGTAGCTGAAAGTTTTTGTTTGTTACAGATGTCGTTTTCTGAAACTGGAGTCAGTTGAATGTTGGTGAATTGGTGATTTCTTTTTTCAGAACCTCAATGTAAAATTTACGTCAAACAATAATAATATTATTAGCAGCTTTATCGGCCGGGACAAAAACAAATTCCTTGGCTAGTTCTTTTAGTTTATGTTTGATACGAGAAATAGGTTTATTGTGGTTATTGTTAAGAGTAAAATGTTCTTTAAAATGTTGAATACGTATATCAACTATATTCATTGCTGAATTAAAAAAAGAGTCCAAAGATTTTTTGTCAGCTTTTTCCCGTTTTATCCATTTCAAACAGTAAGTATGGAGTGAGTCGTGGATGATATTACGACACTCATTCCAAATAATAATTGACGGGGGACGATATTTAGGTCCTTTACTGAGGAATGATTTTAACTCTCGGTCTTGAACGATGTTAAGATCTCCTGTTATAACATGGGAAATGGGTCCATAAATGTATTCGGAATTACTGCAATTACATGAAGTAGGTGTATTTTCACTGATATTAACATCTTTACATTCATCAAAGATGATTGTTTGAATATTCTACCAGTTCACGAAACAGAAAATGGGAAATGTCTCTGGCATAGAAAGAAACGAATAGATTAAAAAGTTTCTAATGTTTTTTTGTAAGCTAAGGCCATTGCTCGTATTGAGATAAGGATATCCTAAAATCACAAATGTATATTACAAATAAATATCGATATGAATGTTTTCTTTGAGAAAACGTGTATAATATTATACATATGCTTGACTACAGGGAAATAAAAGATACGAAATCCAAAGATAGCAGTACTCAGCTATACGAATCAATGACGACGACCCCACAAGGTGAGATAATCCTCTGTGTTTGACAATAAATATTTCCTGTCACTATCATTCCAATTAGGTATTTTAGAAATTAAACATCATATCCGAAGAGCCTTTTCAAAAAAGATATTACAGCATTGATTTATGTTGTGAATAGTGTGTATCTGTGTATTAAACATAAATAAAAGTATATTGCCTGGAACTGCCGCTACTTCAACTTCCATTATGTATTTTATAAAGAATCATCAAATCCAAAAAAGAACAAATTATAATGAATATATAATGAGTTGATATATATTGCGACTAATGAGTAAACAAACCCATTAAAAATCAGACTAAGATATGGAGCAAAGGTCCATTCACATTGTAAGCACAAACATTTAATATTTTCTGAAAGATATATTATCTGTTCTAAACGCAACCACTTCACTCATACATTTTGAAAGTAATGAAAACATTCTAAGAGTGATAACAATAACAAGTTAAGGCAAGAATACCATTTACTATTATAATTTATTCTGTTGATCGTTTACAATTGCCTATCATTAATGCATATATATATATATTTTTTTTTATTTCAGAGGCTAACAAAACCACGAAAAACGAAAGTGTAGACATGTATTCAAGTGTTTTATCAACTAAAATCTAATCATGACAGTTGCTATTTCTTTTTTGCCTGACATTGCCATCAGGTCTTCATTTATTCAGGCTTTGTTCAAGTATCATCGTCATTAATCCTTCTGCCAACACGCAACAATTTTCATTAGATATTCTGTGTCAATCCTTCCTATAAAGGCCGATTTTTTACATACATTGTAATTTCATCTCATTTACTAATATGTGTTTTTACATGTACTTATGTATATCTACTAAGATAACGATACTTAAATATATATAAAAATTGCGGTTTTTATCCAACGCAATATTAGGTTTGAACGTTGTTTTCAATTTAGACTTGTAAATATATATATATATGGCTGTGGACCATACGGTAAAAATAGTACATTATGCTCACACATAAATGAAACCAAGGTATTTTGTGACAACACCGGGAAGGAATATACCATTCAGGGACGAATAAACTGTAAAACCGTGGGCGTAGTATATGCAATTAACTGTACAAAATGCGAAAAACTTATATATGTAGGACAAACGGGTGATACACTTTATCAACGGATGCTATTGAACTTTTCAAAAATACGAACAAACAAAACAGACGATCCGGTAGCAAACCACTTCATTCAGCATAATCATTCGATGAAAAATTTACCGCCATAGAAAGAGTATTTGGAACAGAAATTTACAGAAAAACGAAAGAAGCCTTTTGGATAAAAAAATTAAAAACTTTAGAGCCTGATGGACTCAACGCAATGAATGAACGATAGTGAAAATATTTACAAAAAAAGGAAAAACACGCGGCAAATGAACTTCATAGTAGTTATTATAACGTATTGTATCCAAGCGATGTAATTTATTCCAATGAAGAAGGCTGTAATGGCCGAAACGTATGGAAAATTTTGTTATAGTTTTTATTATACAATCTTTCAGAATCTTTATATATATATATATATATATACAACTCGTCTAAACATCAGCCCAACAATGTTAGATCTGTAAATTTGCTTTCGCAATTTTTTTGTTCTTCCCTCGCCGGGATTCGAACTCATGCTACTGAGATATCGTGACACCAAATCGCCTGCACTGAATCCGACCACCTAGGCTTCACAAAAATAAAGCTTTTGGTGGCCGGGTGTAACCTTTCCTCGTCAGTTTTAATCTAGCGTCGTAATACAGTACATGGTATATAAGGCATAAAGATGGAATTGTTACAGATCAGCTGAAATATCTATTGTAAAGGATCCTACAAATTAATGCAAGATACAGTCACAGAAATAATTATATTTAGATATATATACAACGCTAAAACAAGTTTTGCAACGTTTACATTCTTTTCATATTATCCACTTTATAATAATAAAATTTGAATATAAAGAAGGTGTCATCAATTTAAAGTTTGTTTTTAATATAAGTACTCGTCTGTATGAAAGAATGAGACTTGTGATATAATATGTAAGTACCATAACCTAAATGACGGTTGCCACTAGTAAAGTAGAGTATGCTTTCCTTTGCCGGAGCACCTGATATCGCCTCTAGTCCTGATGGGCTTCGTGTTGCTCAGTCTTTAGTTTTTATGTAATGTTTTTTGGAGTTGTTTGTTTTGAGTTATGATGGATGAGGAAAGATTAAAGATGACCATGATGACACTCCGTAAATTTTATGGACACCATTACGAATTGGTTGATCTATACAATGTGTCTGTGTCTAAACCAACTAATGACATTATTACAGTCCTTGGATGGTGTAAACTTCCCACTCACACCATACACCATTACACCATACACCATTACACCATACACCTCGTGCCATTACACCATACACGTTACACCTTTGCACCATACACCATTCCCAATTCTATCTACACGATCCGAAATTACCCATAATGCAATTAAATTTCAAAGAAAGCGTGCGACTACAAAATTATTTATTTGATTTAAAAAACGAATTTTGATCGCAATATTGTAAATTAATGTATAAAATTAAAATCTCCGTGGTCATGTCTATCATGGTTATATAAACAATACAGATTAAATATATATACATGTATTTGTAAATAAAGTACGCATAAAACTTTGCTTGTAATGCAAATTTATCCGCGATCTGCCTATCTATAAATTAAAAACGATATTGGTTACAATGCTATTATTGTCGGTTTTAACATGTATCGTAAATCTTATAAACTTGGTTTTCAGATAAAATCGACAAACAATGCCAAAAATGAATACTTCAGGATGACTGGTACATGTACAACATGTACAACAAAATTGTTTTAAGCGTCAACCAAAACTGACCATATTTGCACTTATAATTATAAAATTGAGAATGGAAATGGGGAGTGTGTCAATCTGTTAATTTATATAGGGTTAAAAAATTTGGAAATATTTTTGCCCTCCTTTTATTAAAAATATTGTCTCGCTACAAAATTTCAGTAATTTTAATACCTAAGGCTGACTAGTATAACAAAATTATTTAACTCATCAACCAAAACTGACCATAATATTTTCACTTTATTATACAGATCTATATAGCCGCATAGTAAATCAGCAATATTTTGATGTCAGGGTGGATTGTATAATACAAATGACAGCAACATTGCAAAACAACATGTACAATGACAAAAATTTGTCCCCATCAATCTAGATAGCCAGCATGTCCTCTTTTTATTCAAAATATTGTCACGCAACAAAATTTCAGTAGTTTTGATACCTCAGGCTGACTCGTATAACAAAATTATTTAAACGAATCAACCAAAACTGACCATATTTGCATTTTATTATTATGTAAATCTATATAGCCTCATAGTAAATCAGCAATATTTTGTTGTCAGAATGGATTGCATAATACAAATGACAGCAACATTGCAACACAATGACAACAAAAATGTGTTCCCATCAATCTAGATTGCCAGCATGTCCTCTTTTTATTCAAAATATTGTGTCACAAGAAAATTTCAGTAGTTTTGATACCTCAGGCTGACTCATATAACAAAACTATTTTAAAGTATCAACCAAAACTGACCATATTTGCACTTTATTATGTAAATCTATATAGCCGCATAGTAAATCAGCAATATTTTAATGTCAGGATGGATTGTATAATACAAATGACAGCAACATTGCAATACAATGACAACAAAAATTTGTCCCCATCAATCTAGATAGCCAGCATGTCCTCTTTTTATTCAAAATATTGTCTCGTAAGAAAATTTCAGTAGTTTTGATACCTCAGGATGACTTGTATAACAAAATTATTTTACAGCATCAACCAAAACTGACCATATTTGCACTTTTAATATTATGTATATCTATATAGCCACATAGTAAAGCAGCTATATTTTATTGTCAGAATGGATTGTATAATACAAATGACAGCAACATTGCAACACAATGACATCAAAAATCATCCCAATCAATTTAGATTGCCAGCATGTCCTCTTTTTATTCAAAATATTGTCTCGCAACAAAATTTCAGTAATTTTGATACCTAAGGCTGACTAGTATAACAAAATTATTGAAACGCATCAACAAAAACTGACCATATTTGCACATTATTATGTATATCTATATAGCCACATAGTAAATCAGCAATATTTTGATGTCAGGATGGATTGTATAATACAAATGACAGCAACATTGCAATACAATGACAACAAAAATTTGTCCCCATCAATCTAGATAGCCAGCATGTCCTCTTTTTATTCAAAATATTGTCACGCAACAAAATTTCAGTATTTTTAATACCTCAGGCTGACTCGTATAACAAAATTATTTAAACAAATCAACCAAAACTGACCATATTTGCATTTTATTATGTAAATCTATATAGCCGCATAGTAAATCAGCAATATTTTGTTGTCAGAATGGATTGCATAATACAAATGACAGCAACATTGCAACACAACGACAACAAAAATTTGTCCCCATCAATCTAGATTGCCAGCATGTCCTCTTTTTATTCAAAATATTGTGTCGCAAGAAAATTTCAGTAGTTTTGATACCTCAGGCTGACTCATATAACAAAACTATTTTAAAGTATCAACCAAAACTGACCATATTTGCACTTTATTATGTAAATCTATATAGCCGCATAGTAAATCAGCAATATTTTGATGTCAGGATGGATTGTATAATACAAATGACTGCAACATTGCAATACAATGACAACAAAAATTTGTCCCCATCAATCTAGATAGCCAGCATGTCCTCTTTTTATTCAAAATATTGTCTCTTAAGAAAATTTCAGTAGTTTTGATACCTCAGGCTGACTTGTATAACAAAATTATTTTACAGCATCAACCAAAACTGACCATATTTGCACTTTTAATATTATGTATATCTATATAGCCACATAGTAAAGCAGCTATATTTTATTGTCAGAATGGATTGTATAATACAAATGACAGCAACATTGCAACACAATGACAACAAAAATTATCCCCATCAATTTAGATTGCCAGCATGTCCTCTTTTTATTCAAAATATTGTCTCGCAACAAAATTTCAGTAATTTTAATACCTAAGGCTGACTAGTATAACAAAATTATTGAAACGCATCAACAAAAACTGACCATATTTGCACATTATTATGTATATCTATATAGCCACATAGTAAATCAGCAATATTTTGATGTCAGGATGGATTGTATAATACAAATGACAGCAACATTGCAATACAATGACAACAACAATTTGTTCCCATCAATCTAGATAGCCAGCATGTCCTCTTTTTATTCAAAATATTGTCTCGCAACAAAATTTCAGTAGTTTTGATACCTCAGGCTGACTCGTATAACAAAATTATTTAAACGAATCAACCAAAACTGACCATATTTGCATTTTATTATGTAAATCTATATAGCCACATAGTAAATCAGCAATATGTTGTTGTCAGAATGGATTGCATAATACAAATGACAGCAACATTGCAACACAACGACAACAAAAATTTGTCCCCATCAATCTAGATTGCCAGCATGTCCTCTTTTTATTCAAAATATTGTCACGCAAGAAAATTTCAGTAGTTTTGATACCTCAGGCTGACTCATATAACAAAACTATTTTAAAGTATCAACCAAAACTGACCATATTTGCACTTTATTATGTAAATCTATATAGCCGCATAGTAAATCAGCAATATTTTGATGTCAGGATGGATTGTATAATACAAATGACTGCAACATTGCAATACAATGACAACAAAAATTTGTCCCCATCAATCTAGATAGCCAGCATGTCCTCTTTTTATTCAAAATATTGTCTCTTAAGAAAATTTCAGTAGTTTTGATACCTCAGGCTGACTTGTATAACAAAATTATTTTACAGCATCAACCAAAACTGACCATATTTGCACTTTTAATATTATGTATATCTATATAGCCACATAGTAAAGCAGCTATATTTTATTGTCAGAATGGATTGTATAATACAAATGACAGTAACATTGCAACACAATGACAACAAAAATTATCCCCATCAATTTAGATTGCCAGCATGTCCTCTTTTTATTCAAAATATTGTCTCGCAACAAAATTTCAGTAATTTTAATACCTAAGGCTGACTAGTATAACAAAATTATTTAAACGCATCAACAAAAACTGACCATATTTGCACATTATTATGTATATCTATATAGCCACATAGTAAATCAGCAATATTTTGATGTCAGGATGGATTGTATAATACAAATGACAGCAACATTGCAATACAATGACAACAACAATTTGTTCCCATCAATCTAGATAGCCAGCATGTCCTCTTTTTATTCAAAATATTGTCTCGCAACAAAATTTCAGTGGTTTTGATAACTCAGGCTGACTCGTATAAGAAAATTATTTAAACGAATCAACCAAAACTGACCATATTTGCACTTTATTATGTAAATCTATATAGCCGCATAGTA